CAATACATAATGTTAATATAACCTAAGCATTACAATAGAGGACATTACATCCTTTTTTTTTCGATGTATATTTTAGCTTTCATGATCCTCAACAAGATGATCATATGGTGATCATTGTCTACATTGCAAATTGGGAAGTGAAAAAAAAATTATTGATTAGGGGAGCTTGACAAACATCCTATATTGGTCTATTTTTATATAAAAAATGTCTCATATGATTTAATTCAACCTTACCCTGATCCACTAATAGACTTTGTAGGAGAAAGGGTTCATACTTGGGGATATAATAATCTTTTGACCACCTTTGAAAAAAGAGAAGAAAATGAGACTTTGATGGTAAGATATATATTGAAAGAAGCACATACCTCTTATAATGTATTGATAGGATGAAAGACTCTAAATCAATTCGGAACTATCGTATACACCCCTCATATGACTATAAAGTTTTTAGCTAAAGGAGGGTGAGTAACAACAATCAAGATAAATCTAAAAGAACCTAAAGAGTGTTATCCTCTTAGCTTTAAAGCTCAACCTTATTCTTTAAAAAAATGTGGATAATAATCCATCATGACAAACTTGGTTTTACATGTTCAAGATACGGAGGTTGATCCTCGACAAGAAAAAAGAAGTGATCATCCAACTTTTGATGAATCGATAATTGAGTTGCAGTTGTTGGTCTTTTGGAAAGTGTACCAATATTATCAATCGCAATACACTATTTCAATTAAATTAAAGTCGATCCCATGAGAAACAGTTTCGTTGGAAATTCTGAATCATATGCTTATTAAGTGTATTGACACAAAATTGATTTTTCATAAACTTTTGGATTGAAAACAAACAGTAAAGAGCTATAAAATATATTTAGAATGAAATATGAGAACTTAGGATTAACTTATTTCCTTTTCTCTTCTTTGTATAATGGCTAAGTCAAATTAATAATATCAATTAACCTATTAATGTTGATGTCATCTACTTAAATCATTCACATTGATTCCTCAAACATGATATTCATAAGAAAACCTTGTAAACATAGATTCCTCATACATTCAATAGATTTTCTAACATTAGGTTTAGGGTGTTAAACACTTAATACATCCATTATCATTCCTAACAATTAACGTATTAAATATTTTTAACCTAATTAAGGGTTTCAAGATATATTTTCCAATATATATGAACATCAAGGATAAAAGGATTAACAGACACAAAGGATAAAAATAATAACATAGAAAACATAGATTAATATATCAAAATATCACCAAGATGCAAAAGAGTTCAAAGAAAGTGCACACAATCCTAAGAGAATGAAGTTAGTCACTCATGATGGTCATTACAATGATCCAAATGAAGAAGAATTGAAGATTGAACGAAAACTCGAGCAATCGTCGTGACTATCTTCTAAAAACCTTCAACCCCTTTTTCAAAACGCATCTTATCTTTTTCTAAAAACCTCCAACCGTCATTCGCTCAAGCAGAATGTTCGCTTAAGTGAAAAATGAAGAATTTTGCTCAAACGAGAATTGTTCGCTTGAGCGGTTGAATTCTCGAGGCTTTAACGTATTTTTGCTCAAACGAGCGTCCATTTCACTCGGGCAACTCTTAGGCTGAAAATATTTTTCTTTTTTCCAAATTTTCTTCAATTAAAATGAAAATTATGATATTTGATCTTGTATCAAGGTATTCTGCAAATTCATCTTACATTAAGAGAAAATTAGATTAAAATCAACATAATTTAAGTGGTTAAATAATAATTAAAAATATTACATCAACTTTTACTACTTAACAACAGTTTAGGAGCAAACTTGGACAAACAACTTAAATAGGGGAGACAATGGATGTCGGTCTTTGAACTCATATAAAGAATATATTTTAACAAAATGTTGACCTACTTATATGGAGTGCATCTGACATGTCAAGTATTAATCAAAGAAAATGAAATCTAGGAAAAGAAAGACAAAAGTCTATAAAACAAGAATTTTGAAAATTATTAAAGGCAAATTTTATTAGAGAAATAACATATACAACTTGGTTAGCTACTGTAGTATTAGTGAAAAAGTCTAATGAAAAATGACAATTGTGTGTTAATTATACTTACTTGAACAAAGTTTGTCCTAAGATTCATACCATTGCCAAATAGAGGTCGATTAATTAACAACACCTGAGATTATGAAATTCTTAGTTTTTTATATGTATACTCAAGATATAATCATATACTAATGTACCAGAGTAGATGAGGAACAAATTGATTTAATCACTAAATGAGCTAATTTTTGTTAAAAATTATAATGATGTTAGTGCAACTTACTACATATTAATGAAAACAATATTCAAAAGTATAATAAGAGATATCATGGAAGTTTATATAAATGATATGATTATCAAATGTAAAAAAAAAATCATTTATCATCCAGAACATTTACAAAGAGTTTTGGGTGAGGTTAGAAAACATAACATGAGATTAAATTCAGAAAAATGTGTATTTAGAGTACAGGGAAAAATGTTTTTCGAATTCATGATAACACAAAGAGGAATAGAAGCAAAACATAATAAATGTGAAGTCATTTTAAATATACAAAACTTTACAAATATCAAAGAGGTATAACGTCTAAATGGTAAATTAGTTTTACTATCTTGATTTATTCTTAAATTAGTTGAAAAAGCAAAACCATTTTTCAAATTGTTAAAGACAACTACAAAATTTGAATGGAATTATGAATGTAATGATAGGTTCCAACAAATCAAACTTAATATATTTTCATTACCAATTTTATCAAACCCTACCCTAGGAGCTAATCTTTTAATATATTTAACAGTTTCAAACTTAGTCATAAGCTTAATGTTAGTAAATTGTAAAAACAATCATCCTATATAATTTACTAGTAGCATTTTATAACCAGTTGAAATTAAATATTTTATCATAGAGAAATGAACTTTAACCTTAACATTAAGGCAATATTTTAACAGTCATCCGACAATAGTTAAAATTGATTATCCCATAAAGCAAACATTGGAAAAACTTGAATTAATTTGGAGAATGATAACATGGATGGTAAAATTATCTAAATTTGACATATCTAATGAAATATGATGACTAATGAAAGCATAATTTTTAGCTGACTTTCTCCTTGAATTCTTGAAAAAAAACTATTTTGTGGATCCTATCAGTTGATGGTTTCTCAAATAAGAAAGAAAGTCAAGCAAGGATTATTTTAGAAAGTTCGGATGATATTATACTTACATAAGCTTTACGTGTTGAATTTTGAGCTTGCAGTAATCAAGTCAAGTATAAAGCCTTGATCGTTGGATTAAGATTAGCCAAAGAAACTAGAGTAAGATATCTCCATTGCAAAAGTAATTCTAAACTTAGAACAAGATAGATAGGTGGAGAATTTTAAGCTAGGGAGCCTTTTATACAAAAAAATATTATCATATAGCCAAGACCTTGATAAAAAGCTTCGATCAATTCAAAATAGAACACATACCTTGAGAACAAAATTATTGGACTAATCTTCTCTCAAAACTCCAATACATATAACTCTAGATAACAAAAATATTATTACAAGAGACATTAAAAACACCCAACTGGGATTATGATAATGTATTCCATTTTAATTAAACTAAGTTAACATGGGTGACCCCCATAATCTAATACTTGAAAAGTGGAATACTACCAAATAATTCAAAACAAGCTCAGGAAATGAAAAGAACAATTGCATTCATTGTCTAATGCAACGGATACTTATTCAAAAGAGTATTTTCAACACCTATCCTCAAATATTTAGATAAGAAACAAGTAAAGTATGTAATGAATGAATTACATTATATAATATGTGAAGTACACTCAAAAGCGATAAATATGATAGTTTAAAATTTTCGAGTATGATATTATTGACCAAAGTTAAAATAAAACGCAAAGAATTTTGTAACAAAATGTAAAGCATGTTAAAAATTTGATCCAATATTTAAAACACACCCTACAAATCTTTATACTAATTTATCAGCAAAACTCTTTGCTAGTTGGAATATTAATATACTCAACCTATTTTGTATAGTTAATGAACAAATAAATTTGATACTAGAAAGATAAATTATTTTACCAAATAAACTAAGACCAACCACACTTACAACGTAACAAGTTCAAAAATTTATATAAAAAAGTAATATTATATGCAAATATGAAATCCCTCATATCATAGTCACATATAACAAGAAACACTAAAAATCTATAACAATTTTTAGAAAATTAGCAACAAAATATCTAATAAGATTAATAAAATATCTCACATAATTCTTCAAGTAAAACTATCCTAAAACCATTCTAAATGAACTTAAACGTAATCAGGTAAGTAAAAAGTTGTTGGGCAAAAGACTCTTAATTTTTAATTATATTTCATTTATTTTTTTGTATTTTTTTATTCGTCAAATAGTTTTTTATTTTATTTTTCGTATACATATACTCTTTTTTTTTTTAATTTCCACGCACTTCTTTTTATGTGCCAAACCCATAATTAAGTCATGAAAATATAAAGTTTAAAAAAACTTAAAATGTGATCTCTCTATATAAAAACAAGTAAATTGAGGTTTTATAGCCAATATATGTTTTATCCATAACATAAACTTTTAATACAAACACAATATAGGATAACAATAACATTTTATATATTATTTACTAATATTAAATGAGATTAAGTACTTTGTAATTAATTTCACCTATACTTCATGTTTTAATTTGAAGGGCATAAGTGTATGTTTGGAAATTACATAAATATGTAAGTTTTTTCGTTGAACAAGATTTCTCACATTCCTATCCACTAGATATAAATAGTTAAATAAAAGAAAAGTAAAAAAAAAAAAGTTGTCTGCGTTGGGCTTGGCCTAGGAAACCCAGCCCAGAGGCGACTTCAAAAACCCTAATATTTTCCTCCTTGTCCTTAAGCAGCGAGTCCCGAGGGAGAAAAGGGTTCGTGCCGTTGTGGTGTGTGGTGTGTGGTGAAGGGAAGATGGTGTCAGGTTCGGGAATCTGCGCGAAGAGAGTGGTGGTGGACGCGCGGCACCACATGCTGGGTCGACTCGCGTCCATTGTGGCGAAGGAGCTGCTGAACGGCCAGAAAGTGGTGGTGGTGAGGTGCGAAGAGATCTGTATCTCCGGCGGCCTCGTGAGGCAGAAGATGAAGTACATGAGGTTCCTCCGTAAACGCATGAACACCAAACCTTCTCATGGACCCATCCATTTCCGCGCTCCCGCCAAGATCTTCTGGCGCACCGTTCGTGGGTATGTCACTTCTCTCGAATCAAATCTTTCTTCATTTTTGTTTTGCTTTTACGAAAACTATTATTATGTTCGGGGCTTTTGAGGTGAATGTCTACTGTTTTAGTTTTTATTTCTAGGGTCAGGTTTTGAAATTTGTATGTCTGTTCTTTTTTTTTTCCTAGAATGATACCGCACAAGACAAAACGTGGAGAAGCTGCTCTTGATCGTTTGAAGGCTTATGAAGGAATCCCTCCTCCGTATGACAAGACCAAGAGAATGGTTGTCCCTGATGCTCTCAAGTAAGTCTTCTATCCTCCTAAACTTTTTTGTGTGTGATTTTTCAGTGATGTATTACAACTTAATTGTACATTTGTTTGAAAAGGATCAATAATTGTTCTTTATATGTTTTTGAAGTTTTGTTATAGAAGTTAATAAACTTAGTATATACGGTGGTTTGTGGTTGAATGTAAGTGTGGAAAATGTTTATATAGTTAGAACTTGACTGTTCAACTATATTGCATTGAATAAATGATGTGGTTTATCTTATGTGTGCCAAGCTAATTGATGGAAACTGGAATCAGGGTTTTGAGGCTTCAGAAAGGACACAAGTATTGTGTGCTGGGCAGGTTATCATCTGAAGTTGGATGGAGTTATTACGACACCATCAGGGTATGTTTTTTTCTTTGTGAACTTATGCTACCTTAATTTCAACTGTGTTTTCCTACAAGTTATTATCAAACTTATAATGTGATCTACTTGGCCAACTGTGAAGAATATATATTTGGTTGATATTTATCTATTAGTCATTGCTATTGTGATTGTGCAAGATGGAGTTTGGGAATGAGCTGCTGTTAGTACTATTTATCTATTAAGGAGATGCCTACTGTGAAAACTATATATTACATTTTTTAATGTTATGCGACCTTTTCTAAGAAAAGTTGTTCTTTCCTTCAATCTTCAAGGGGAATGAAAATTAAAGTGTTGGAAATTTTGGGCTTCTGTACTGTGATTGTTACCTTATAAAATGGTAAGGAATTAGATTTGTTTGCTGGTGTGAGTAATTGTTTTATTATTGCTATCAGGAGTTGGAGAAGAAGAGAAAGGACAAGGCAGAGTTGGTTTACGAGAGAAAGAAGCAGCTCAATAAGTTGAGGGAGAAAGCTGAGAAGGTTGCTGATGAGAAACTCGGTTCCCAACTAGATATTATTGCCTCTGTTAAGTATTGAGTAGTCCTTTTAGAGTTTTTAAATTTTTGGTGCCACTTTATACCCAATTAAACTATCCTTTCAATTTTGGTGGAGGGAGTATTTGTTATTGAATCATAGATTTGAAATCTGATAATGTCTGTTTTTAATTTAATCGGATGTTTTGTATACTTTTAAAATCATTGAGAAATTTTTCATTACGGTTACCCTTTGGCCTTCTCTTAGTAAAGTAATTTCTCTAAAATTTATTTATCAATTTTCTGCGCTCATAATATTTGTATAACCCTTTTTTTTATTTGTTGGAATGAAGGTGTTAAATTAAGCTGATAAATCTGATGAACTGCTGATAAAATTTAGGTTTAAGATCATTTAGTTTATTATGATGTGCTTCACAGTGAAGAGGGCCAACTTTCTGTTTCTTTGAAATTTAAAAACAAAGATTAAAAATCTTAATTAACATAACGTTGTTTGGAAAAAGGAAACAAACTTGATTTAACTTCAATGGTAATAGAAACTTCAATTATAAGTTAAGCTGCTTTTTTCTAATTTTCTTGTGATTTTCTATCAACTAACATTAATACACTTGTATCTTGTGGTTTATATTTACACTTGTAAATTTTTTGAAATTACACTACTAGTGTTTTCTTTGTAGAGAATGTTTGAAAAAATGGTGGTTTTTACTAAATTATCTAGCGATGGCAAAATGGGCGGTTTGTTCTGGTCTGTCTTGTATTTGCCTGCCAAAAGTGGGAGGGGTTGGGTTAGTCCGCCATAATTATGGTTGGCGGTTATAGGTTTCGGTCATGACATATTTTTTATTTTATTTTATTAATTTTAAATCAAAATTTTTAATAAATTTAATAATGATAATTATTATTATCAATAATTTTTATATATATATATATATATATATATTTAAGTTACTAATAAAAATTGATATATTATTTTAATAAATTATATTTTAGAACAATTAAATTAAGATAAAATTTATATAATAATAAATACATACATGTAACAGTAAAAATTTATTAAATTTTTATTTTTTATATTGAAATAATTATGATTTTTATTTTGTGAAGAATGATGAGTAAGAAGAATATGATGGATATGATGAGAGAGATTTGTGCTTGAGAAAGGAAAGTGTATCCCATGTGAGTTTAAGTAATTATAAATTTTTTTGAATTCTTTTAGTAAGATACTTGAGACTTTATGAATTATCATTATGATGTATTAGAACTTTTAAAAATATATTTTCATAAATTTTTATATTATATATTATTTTTTTGATTTTTTATATTGTATCACATTTAAAAAAAATATTAGTAAACCGTCCCCTCCTGCTGGTTAGCCTGACGGGTTGGTGGGCTTGGTGGGACGTAGGCATGACAACGAGGGCGGAGGTGGGTTTTGCCTCCTCGATCCCCGTTCTCGACTTTTTAATCATCCCGTCCTCGCTCCCGATCCCACGGGGTTAAAAATTAAGTCACCATCCCCATTCTCGCTGGGTTTAGGGTTCCCACCCAGTCCCCGATCTATATTATTTAAAAAAAGATAATTACATTTATAATAAATTAATTTTATTATGTATTTTTTTATATAAATAAATATTTATAATTTTATAATGTATAATTATTATTAATTAAATATACATTTTAATTTATTATATTTATATTAAAATATGTATGTAAAAAAATATTTAATTATTTTTTAATTATATATATATATATATATATATATATAGAATATTTATAACATTATTATTATAATACTGTATTCAAACATTTAATTATTTATATAAGTTAATTCATTTTTAAGTTGTCATTTAAAAATATGAAATATATAGTTTATAAGAAAATATTTAATAAGTTAATTCTTATTTAATTAGTTTGAAGTAATAAAAGTTTAAATTATCAATTTCTTTTAATCCTTTAAAATACAATTATTTTATTAAGATAAAAAAATATGACATAATAAAACCTAATAAATATAAATTATAAATAAAATAATATTAGTTACTACTAGGATTTATGTAAAATATTTAGAAAAAGATAAAGGAAAAAAAATTACTTTGTGCTCATCAAATTGATTGAAAAGATTAAAAAAATAAATAAATTGATGTGAGAAATTAAGGAAATGTAAAAAACGAGAAAGGTAAGAGAAAATAATGTAATAAATTAATTAATATAAAAGATTAAAAAAGAAAAAAAATTTAAAAGTGGGTAGAAGAAAAAGAAAATTTGGTGAAATATTAAAAAAACAACCTTATATGTAATAGAAAAAGAAACGAAAATATATTTAAAGTAATATTTTAAATTTTAAATTTAAATATAAAAGTCGACGCGAGGACGGGGTCGGGGTGGAGATTGCATTACCCATCCCGCCCAGACTTTTCAAGCGGGAAAAACCGAACTCGCCCGCCCCTGCTCAACTTGGGATTTTCCAGTCAAACTCGGGGCGAGGGACGGGTCGGTCCCCACGAGTACGGATTTAATTGTCATCCTTAGTAGGACATGCCAAAATGAACTAATAAGTGGAAAGTACTAACTTGTCCCGCCATATTATGACCGATCTGGTGGGCGGTCCTGACCAGTTTTGTCATCTCATCCTAAAATAATTGCATATTTCATTTTTTTATCTTTTTTTTAATCTAAAAAAAAAATATTTTTTAAAACACTCTCAATATTTCTAATATATTTTTCACTTTATTAAACAAGTATATATTCAAATTTTTTAATTTCTTTATTTATTTATTCTCAATTTTGTTATTTTTATTTCCATTATGTGAAGCATACTTGCAGAAATATTATAGGTCTTTTAAAATATTTTAAAATTACAAACAATTTTTTTTTAAATGCCTTTATATTATGCATTCTTATGCATCTTAAATAATCAGAGTTTATTGAAAGTTTTATTTTGAAACACATACGTAATTAAAAAAAAGTCATATAATTTTTTTTCTATTTTTAAAATTGATTAAAGTTATATAATTTTCTTCAATCTTAAATATCGGATGTATATATTAAATTTATAGTAAAATATTTATTTTTATTTTTAAACAATTTAAATATATTCTTAAGATTTAAAAATTTTGAATATCTAATTGTGAAAAAATAAATGATGAAAACTTTATATTCTTTAATAAGGACTATCGCTGTAATTATAAAAAAAATTGTGTAATTTGACGAAAGAAGGTGGGAATGTGTTATTATAATTTATATTAGATGTATTAGTTTAAAAATAGAACAGAGTTATTATAGTTCTTATAAAGTAATAATAAGTATTTATTAGAATGAATTAACAATAGAAAAAATTGTTATTTAACTATATGCATGCTTTTTTTCTTTTTTTCATGTTAATTTTTACTCAAATTTCTCTTAGGATGTTTGCTGTTTCGTTCTCTCTCTCTCTCTCTCTCTCTCTCTCTCTCTCTCTCTCTCATATATATATATATATATATTAAGTAAACTAATTAATATTTTAGTTTTATTATAAATATTTTTCTTTTTTCTTTATTGTAAAATTGTTAAATATATTCTAATAAAATAATTATTTAATAAAAAATATTATAAAAATATAATATATAATTAATTTATTTAAAAAATAATTATACATATTTTAAATTATAAAAAATTAATTGTTTAACTATAATAAAAATTTATATTTTTATTTTAATAATATCTATTATAATTTTGATTAGTATAATTTGGATTAGTTTTTTTTATCAAATTATTATCAAATCGAATTAATCAACTTTTAAAATTTTCAAGAAAAAAAATTAAGAAAAATGATTTTTATTTATCTTCAATAAATTTTAGATGATTTTTAATTTAATTTTTGAGTAATTTTGATAGTCTTAAAATATATATTATTTAATTAAATAAATAATATTTTATTAAATGCTTAAAAAAAATTTAAACTTTTTGAATATATACAGACGCTTAGTAAAATATTTAAAAGAACAACTTATCGTTTATAATTACTGTATTGAGATAGAATATAGTTTATTTATCATAAAATTTTAGTGAATTTTATATAAAATAATATTATTATAATTATTAATTAAAATTTATTAAAAATTATAAAACAATATTAATATATATATATATATATATATATTATTTTATTACCATTATTGTAAGACAGAATAAATTAAAAAAAATGTATTAATAGTATTGAATTAAATTAAAGTGTTTGTAAATTGATATAACTATGGCACTGAGAGCGAGGTTGTGAACTCTAAGGAGCCAAAATTGAACCTGACCTTTCCGTTTGGCCAAAGGATCATCAAACGACACCAAATCAAAACCAGTTTCAGCAGTCAATGGTGTGCTACCTTCCTTATATTAGACCCGTTTAGAACTTCGCAGTTTTCAAACCTACCCATTTCCCCATCACATCTTCTGCTCCGATAATCACAACAGCTTCTTTGTTCTCGATCTCAGGATGTTTCATTTGGCTTTGTCTCAGGTACTACTTCCTTATCTCTACCTTGTCACTGTTTTTGACTTCCCAGAATAAATGGGGTCACTCCAAATGGAATCAAATTCTACCTTATCATGTCTTTTTCATTGTTTTTTTTAGCTATATTTTCTGTGTGGGGGGTTTTTTATGTGTGTGGAGATGTGCATGTAGAAAGTCAAAGCTGAAAAATTTAACCTGAGTGGATTTTTAAATGATGATTTTTTCTATCACTTGGTGAATGAAATTTAAACAACAAGTAATGAGACTTTTGTGGGGTTTAGCAGGTGGCGGTAACTGTTCCTGTTGGCAGCGATTTGTCTCTCAAAAGATCTGCGTTGAAGGTTTGATAGTACTCCTGTTTCGTTTTGTCTGCCTTTTGACTTTGGAAGTTATTTGATGCTTCTGCCGGTTGTGTCATGTTAAATAACCGATGCAACTGTCCGAGTACTATGTAGTTATGCTAGCTTTTTACGAGTATGTTGATTTGGAATGGCTGTTGAAATGCCTCGAGGGATCAAGTTCAACAATAGAGATTAGTAGATGATCATGTTTCTTTCCCAGTGAGTTTAGAAAGGGGCGAAAGGGATATGTTTTACTATACATTTGATTTGGTTCATTTTCATACCTGCAAAACTGTAATGAAGTGGAGCAATCATCGGGCAAAGGCGATAGTTTTATCCTTTTGGTAAAGAAAAGCTGTTGGTTGTAGTTGGTAACTTGGTATTATAAATGATCTTCTACTTGTATGGTGCCATTGGGTACTTTTATTTTTATATTAGAAATGTAGTGCTTTAGAATTAATGTATTTTGGTTTTCCAAGAACAGTGGTGTTTAAGTTACAATGCCTACTTAACACATGTATATTGGGTTTGTACAATCTTGTTTCCATATATAAATTGATTTTCAAAGAACTAAGAATGTAATACTGCAGTTGTTAGAATAAGCGATTCTATTTATTTTTAAATAAAACTACACTTGACGTTGCAGGCCCCTAGCTTAAACTTTTGGGATAAGTCATGGGCACCAGTGTTAACTTTGGACTTGAAGGCAAACAACTCTTGTTTAAGAAGTCGGAATGTGGTATGCATGTCAGTGCAGCAAGCAAGTGTACCCAAAGTTTCTGTCTCACCTTTAGAGCTGGAAGATGCTGAAGAACCTCCATTGAACTTGTACAAGCCTAAAGAACCCTATACAGCAACAATTGTTTCCGTTGAGCGGGTAGTAGGACTGAAGGCTCCTGGGGAAACTTGTCATATTGTGATTGATCATGGTGGAAATGTTCCATACTGGGAAGGCCAGAGTTATGGTGTTATTCCTCCTGTAAGTGACTCATTGGTGATTGTTATTCATTTCTTCCCTCTCTTTCTTTCCGATTAATGCTGGTAATCCATGATGATGAATCTTTGCCTTTAAGAACTTTTGGATACATTAATCTCGATGGAAGGAATGGATTTTAGATATTTACAATGTTCAATTATGGGTACTTTTCCTATATAAATTGAAGATTAATAGTCATCATCAGAATTTAAGCTGATTCTGTCTCTTCTCACCACCTTCCATCTAAAAATTAATGGTGTCTTTTGGGCTTATTAATTCATATAGAAAGCATTTTTTTTTTGTTGGGGTTAGATCTAGGAGTTAATGCAGTTAATGTTCTAAAATGATTTCACAACTTCTAAATACCACTTTACATTGGTGGCAGGGTGAGAATCCAAAGAAACCTGGGGCTCCCCATAATGTTCGACTATATTCAATTGCTTCCACAAGGTATGGAGACTTTTTTGATGGTAAAACAGCCAGCTTGTGTGTGCGTCGTGCTGTTTACTATGATCCTGAGACAGGAAAGGAAGATCCGTCCAAGAATGGCATTTGTAGTAATTTTCTGTGTAACTCAAAGCCTGGAGACAAAATTAAGATCACAGGTAAGTTGGAGCTGGCATTTTTTACTCCATCAAAGGTTGACATAATTTCTGATTCTTCTGTAACTTCGCAAGATTTGTATTCCAACAAAGTGGTGCCTTAACGCACCATGGTCAAGTTGGGAGAATTTTTAATCTCTTATTTATTTAATGCTGTCTTGCTCGGTTTTTCTTGTTTTTTCCTGTTACCATTGGTGAGTTCTACACTCCTTACTAGAGTGTCTGTTTGCTTAGCTATACTTCCTCAATATAATGTTGGAATGTGCCTTGCTCCAGGAACTTCTTTAATATTGGAAACTTGCTTGCAAGTTGGCAGAACTATAGCTTGTTACTGCTATTTGTTTTCTGATTAATCAACTTTGCTTTAATGCTAGATGGGGCGATTGAGAAAAAAAATTTCATTTTCAGAACCAATGATTTGAATTTGGACAGACATGGTGATTTGATGTGGTTAAATTCTCTAAGCTTTGTTAGGTTTTCATGCAGTATTCCAGTGAACCAGTTTTTCACAATTTAGTAGCTCTTATGTTTTTAACATTTGGTCAATTGGTTAACATCAAACTCTTACAGCATGGAGCATGGTAAAGAAATGTGATAAACTAAATAAAGAGAAAGTATATTGTACACTTAACTGCATATCCATATGCATCATGATTCTGAGTTAAAAAGTTTTGGTTCTATGTTATTGTTCTACCCCAAATTGATTTTTGCAATGTATAGTTTCCACTTTCCATTAAAAATAACGGCCATTCATTCTTCATTTCCTCTTTTATTTGGGTTTGTCCATGTTGGACAGGCACCCATCTAAGTGGCAGTCTCTGTGGACTGCCTTCGTTGCCCTCCAGCTTCTTTATTCTGCTGGGTGGGGGCGGGTGTGTATAGTAGTCACATAATTGGTGGGGGGCACATGGGTCCCTGTGAATGTAAAATCTCTGGTGTTCCATAAAAATTACAAATGGCCGTCATATAAACTCCTCTACACAAGACTTGTTAGCCCATAAAAATGATTAATTCATATTTGTTCTTAGGCACCCAAGTGGGGTATTATTCATTCCTAGTAACTAATGTGTCCACTACCAACATTCTCATAATTGAACAGCAGGCATGCTATAATTTTGAGATATAACACTGCCTACCTGAGGTCCATATTCTACGTGAGGCAAATTATATTATTGATTTCCTAGGCAAGTTAGGAGCAAGTAGTGTTAGGTCCATATCCTAATCCTGAAATGTTTCGGAGTATCACACCTCCATCTTGTCTTTCTTGTGTTAGGTCGGTTCTTATTTTTCTTCAAATTGTCTTACACCCCCTAGCACCCGAAAAAGGATGTATAACAAAAGGGAAACTTGATATGATTTAACTAGTCTTGGGTGTCAACTGTCAAGTATTGTAAATGTTGGTGAACATGCATCTTACTGGGTAGGAATTGATTCATCTACACTGTTTGGCAGGTCCTTCAGGGAAGATAATGCTTTTGCCTGAGGATGACCCTAATGCTACCCATATAATGATTGCCACTGGCACTGGTGTTGCTCCATTCAGAGGCTATCTACGCCGAATGTTCATGGAATCTGTCCCTACATACAAGTTTGGTGGACTAGCTTGGCTTTTCCTTGGCGTTGCTAACTCTGACAGTCTTCTCTATGATGATGAATTCAGTAAATACCTCAAGGATTATCCAAATAATTTCCGCTATGATCGAGCACTTAGCAGAGAACAAAAGAACAAGAATGGCGGAAAAATGTATGTTCAGGATAAGATTGAGGAGTATAGTGATGAAATCTTTAAACTCCTGGATAATGGGGCCCACATTTATTTCTGTGGTCTAAAAGGGATGATGCCTGGGATCCAAGACACACTGAAGAGGGTTGCTGAGCAAAGAGGAGAAAGTTGGGGAGAGAAGCTTTCTCAACTCAAGAAGAACAAACAATGGCATGTTGAAGTTTACTGAAAGAAGAAAAATACAAAACATTTTCCTTTGGTGCTTTTAATAATTCATCGAGCAGCTTCAGTAGCTGTAGTTGTTCTGTATTAGTAAATTGCAATGATATGTTGTGTTCTTCTTGATGGATACAGAATTGAAAAACCAAGTCATTGCAAGTGGAAATCTAGTAGAGTCCATTTGTTGAAAGCAGCAACATATTTCCTTTTGCCAAAATTTGAATTATGTTAGTAAGGATTATCATCCTATGAAGAATAAGCAAAACCTAGAATGATGTCACACGAATGAAGAACATAATGCCCCCAATTAAATTATTTTCTTTATTTGCGGGCATTCTTTCCTACGATTATTAGAGACTCAACTTTAATAGTACTTCGTAACCTATAACCATTGTTTGACTATGTTTAATACTTCTTTAATATAAAAGGAAAATTAAAATAAAATGTGTAATTTTAACATGTTGAAGAGAAAACAATAAGGAAAAAATGCAATATCGTGGAAAAGATAAACACAAAAGAAAACCTAGAGCACGAAAATGTTGAAGTGAACGCTTAATACCTAAGCAACCCATAAAGAAAACAAGTTCCACCCAACACACTTTTTAGTTCCCAACAACACAGGAAGTTTATTCTTTCTTTTTGAAAAATAATTTTGTAATAAATAATACTCTTTCAAAAATTATGAAATACTGGTCGAAAAGAAAATAGGCACTTTTTGGGCATCTCTATTTAAAAAAATGTATAAAAATAAGACATAACTATAATAAAATAATAGAGTGATTTTAAAGAGTGTAATTAAGGAGGAATAAAATACAAAATAAAACAGTAAAAGAAGGGATTTGCTAAGTAGTTATGAAAACAAAATCTAGCATAAAATTTTAATAAATTTGTATGTAGTTAGATTTGCTTAATTTTTTTATTTTACAACAGTCATATATGTTTAATTATTATTTTATTTTAAATTTTATAATAATATATTTATCATAAGAAAAATTAATAATATATTATTAATATAAAACACTTTACTTTGATTTATGAATGTAAAATAATATAATATTATTTGTTTATAAATCAATATTCTTAAATATATATATATATATATATATATATATATATATATATATATATATATATTTTGGACAAATATTTACATTTCTTTTATTAAATATTGAGAAACTTTATTTCTATCTCACTTTTCCTAAAATATAGCATCCTTAACCTCAGATATTAAAAAAAATAAAAATGAGATTATATTTTTTCAATTCTTAAATTAGAAGAATTAGATAAAAAGATACGAATTTTTATGCAAGTCTACAATTTTATTTTCTATTTAAAATTATTAAACTAAAAACTTAATTAACCATAAAAATATTGAAACCTGGTAATAATTATTTTAAAAGTCACATATAACATGTTTGAATACAAACGTTTACATTAATAATATATGTAAATTTAATTATTCGTTTTAACCAGTATTCAGTAACTATAACCATATATAAAAAAGTATTTTTTTTAACTTTTTTGTTGTGTGCATATTTTTTTCTAGTTTATCTTTACAATTATAACAATTATTTTAATTATGTTAATTAGAATGATGAAAAATGGAGATAAAAAAAATGCTTAAAATAGTTATATTATATTATGTATTGTGTTAAAGAAAAAAAAAGAAAACTGAAAAATAAAACAATTAGTTAAAATTATTATATTATTATTTATTTTTTAAAAATTATGAATGTGCAGTGTGTTCCATTAATTTAAATAATTACCCTAACTTTCATTTAATTGGAAATAAACTTAAGTTTTCAAGTAAAATAAAGATTTATTTACGCTTCTTCCATTAGATATTGTAATTAGGTGACAATCTTGTTTCTTAATCAATTATATAAATTAATTTTTTTAACTTCAAAATTTCATATATATATATATATATATATACTAGTTGATGCCAGTCACTACCTTTACGCAACCCCAACTCGTCTCTCCAGATGTCGTTGCTCTCGGGACTCGCCACCGCGATACTCATCCCGATCGCGCTACTCCTCGCCAGATGTGCCTTCGCCGGCCGTGATCTCCGGCCGTCGGAACACGGCTTCCTCTTCCAGGCCTCGCCGCCGTCCAATTCCTCGCCCGAGATGAGGTCCTTCTTCAGCACCACCAAGGGCTCTTCCTCCTCCGACGCTCCCCTGCAGAACACGACTGAGTCCCTTCCGCCGGCGTGGTGGGGTGTCAACGGCGGCAGTGGCGGCGGAAGAAGCCACGTGGGACTGGCGCTGATGACGGCAAGTCTGGTGTGTGGAATCACAGGTGGCGTCCTGTTAGTGGCTACGGCGCTGCTTTATCTGATTAAGCACAGAAAAAAGGCACATCAAAACGAACCGTTTAGTGGTAATAATAATTATAACCACAGTTATTGTTATTATAATAGTAATGATGTGAGTGACAGTAACAGGGGCAACAACAAGCTTCAATTAGTGGCAATTGGTTGAGTTTAATTCATAGTGTAAATTGATATTATGACTTTTGTACAGTATATTTAATTTATTTATTTGTGGGTAGAAATTATTTGTGTATTGCAAAAGCTGTGGCAATAAATATATTTTTAATTTTTTTATTTATTTATAACTGACTCAGTGACCTCATCAACGAAGTAGAGTTACTTGTCAACCAATGTCTGGTTTTTATGACCACACTCTTCGAGTAAATGGAGAATGTAATGGTCAAACTTATTTTTATTTGTTTTGATTATGTGTATCATTTTAAAATTTAGGATAATTTTGATTTTTTTTAAATTTTCAAACAACTTTTTTAATTTCAAAATATTAAATTTCAGGTATCACAAATAGTTTTAAATTGTAAATCTTTAATTCCAAATTAAAAAAAATCATTTTAATATCTCAAATTTGTGATATTATTTCAATTTTGAAAGGTTAAAAAAGTTTTTTCTTTTTTTCATTAGACTCAACATAAAAAATAATAATAAATAAAGATAATTTATATAAAGATCGTGAAGAACAATTAATTATTTAATAACTTTATAAAAATTCAGTGTAAAAAAACTATGATTTTAAACGTAAAAACGTATGTTTCTTCGAACTGTGCAAACCTTTAATGATCATGATGACGTTTCATCATTGTAGAGGAGCATTTTCACAATTTGTATATAGACATGAATTTCTATTAGTGCAAATAAATCTGTTAGGATTGGCAAAAGCATTGCACTGAAGTACTTAAATTTATAAGTCTGAACATTATATTTGATGTTAAGAAGTAAATTACTAGATGTTGTACTACCTACCTTTTTTTAACTTTTTTTTAACTCTCCCTCCAAATAAGTATTATTAGCCCACTACAAATTTGGACCCTCATACAATGATTAAATGCTATGTGAATATTTACTTGATTTTTTTTATAAAACATTAAATACTTATTCATCAGATTAATAAAAGCAAAATAATTAATAACATTTCTTAAATGTATACTTTTTGTGGTAACAACCCCTAATATTAAATAAATACTTACAAACACTAAAAAATAATGTATTCTATCAACTACCTATTATATTAAAAGAAATGAATTTAATTAAAGGTAATTTGTAAAAAGTAATTAATGCACTGAACATTTTAGATTAATTCTTATAGAAACACCGAACACTACTTTCAATTTGGATTTAATTACAAAGTGTGGAGGGAGTATTTATTTTACACCAAGGCGCATAGTTCCTAAAAAACAATGGATATACATGCTTGGTAACTGGCATTTGCGCACAGAAAGGTAGTAAATATGTGATCATCTACAGGTTAGCGAAAGTATATGTTTTCTGATCCTCTCTCTCTCTCCCCTCCGAAGAAGGGTTCTTTTGTTCCTTTTTGTGAAAAAAAAGACTAAATGTTTAGCCAAATGATTTCAGACATGAAGTAAATAGATAAAATACACATTTATTTGTTCCTCTAGGATGATGGTTCCAAAGGTGAAGAGAACAAATTACAGACATTTCTTCAAGAGAATGCATAGTCTAACAACAGTCAACTTCCTATTGATCAAGAGGAATCCACTCGAGTTCAAGATCTAATTCTCCAGACTCAACATTCTGGAGCTTGAGTGCAATCATTTGTTTAACCTTACCATCAATAATATTGACTGGGCTATCCTCAATAAGTGCATTGTCATCGGATTGTAACCATTTTCCTATCTGCATATCGCCAAACATTCCAGCATCTCCAAATGCGATGGCAGATGTTATCAGAGACTGGAGATCAACGTCTGCCTCTCCCATAATATCGTCAGCGGAAAATGTGTCATAATCAAATACTTTCTGCAGCACAAACAGTTGATAAGATGAAGTGTCATGTTTTCAATCCAAAATCCAGTTATCTTCTCTCCCATGTACACCCACCCACCCACACACACACACACACACACACATATATATATATATATATATATATATATATATATATATATATATATAGAGAGAGAGAGAGAGAGAGAGAGAGAGAGATAGAGAAGAAAGAACAAGACATAAAGCAACATGCATTATACATAAACATCAGAACATCACTGAGATATTGGACATTCACCAACCACAGATCTTATTAATCTAAGAGTTGAGGGGAAGAGGAAGAAAAACACTTCAGTTGTGGTTGAAGAAATAATTATATTGACATAAAGAGCGATGCAGGAATATTCAAAAAACCAAATTTTGGCACCTCATCTTCTCTGGCATGCTTATATTTGTGGATCCTACTTAGTTTTTGGATTATATCGTGCTTCTTAGACGCATTGAAGCATATATTTATTGCCTCCCCCCCCCCGTTGCATTTGCATTACCTTTTCTTTTTCTTCCCATTCCACTCAATACAGTATTCCAGATTGCATCACATCTTCAGTTCAATCCCAAATTCATTAAACATGATGTTGACCAGTAGAAGGCCTTAATTCTAAGTGCAACTGAAATACGGTTAGGCAGAATCTATATATTAACCATTTTTGCCACTAAATCCAAAAGATAAGGAAGTACACAACCAATTTTCCTATTTTCATATGTTGAACAATGCAAGTCATTAATGTTTGTGGCATTTTTAGAAAAATAGGTTACTCACTATAAATTGACAAGAGAAAGGAACAGAAAGAGAGTGTGAATCAAAGTACAGAAAGTTTTGTATTTCCATCTCTAATGAAGATGTTCCAATCACTTACTAATTATCATACCAAAATAGAAAAGCAGGTAAATGAGGAATGTCCTTGATAATGTTTATATAACTTTTTAATTCATTCTCGTCATAAATTCAAATTTTTGCTTCCAGCTATGGTATTATTAGTTATAACCAAATTACAAACTGAATTTAGTATAGAACTGTTTAATTCCAACGGAGAGAAATGTTGCTAGCGGAGGTGAATTTGGATGGGATTAGGTTGCTTGCAATGCAAGAAATTTGTTTCACAAGGTAAAAGGTGTTAGACGCTGAGGAATGGGGAACTCATTTTATTTCAGTGCTCTGGCTCTCTATAACTGAACACACAGAAGATAGTGTCTGCTTTTCACAACATCAAAATTTAAACATACCACTTTCATCTGTCCATAATGCTCTGGAACAGACAGCATGTATTCCTCATTCCACACTGGATTCAAGTTACTCCTCGCTATAGATGTCTGGACAGTCTGTAGGCATTAAGATTTATAGCACCAAATTAGTTTCAGAAACAAAATTATCACTTTCTGATTTTACAACTATTAATAGAAGATACAGAACAACAGTATCCCATGATCATATAGTTACACCAACCTGCTGGCCAAGGGTCAAAATAACATACGGATCACTTGACTTTATATCTCTGATGGCTAAATTTGTGCCTTTAATCACTTTCACCTTCAACATTCCAATAAATTCTACCATACCTTCCTGTTTTTACCACCAATGTCAGTCACATTCCAAAGAAATCACTCATGAGGATAACTGCATTGCTAATGCTGTCAAACTAGTGAAGTTGGATAATGAAGCATGCTTCATCTCATCTAAATTAACTACTTCTTATTGTAAGGGTTTTCTTCTTGTCCAACAATAATTCAATTAAAAAAAAATCTATTTTACAAACAATAAGATGCTTGCTCCCAAATTGGTCCCTATATTTCTTCCCCACACATAAAAGTAGTCAGATAGAAAAACTAACACATAACATGAAGTTACCGTTCTCTGTGTACTACTAGTACTTCTAAAACTATCCGCACAACTTTTGGCAGAACTTGATCCTATGCTGCTTTTCCCAGATACAATGCGCAAACTTGGTTTCAGAAATTCTTGAAATTCATATTTTGCCCTGTAGTTGAAATAGTCACAAATAAAACAGCAGTCAGTTAACTAGGGAATTCACTCACCAACAGCAGAAAGTCAAGAAAATAAATAATGAAGCAAATTGGTCAAACAAATATCAGAGGGAGAATCAACAGCCTTTACCATTTACCTACTTCATGGTCATGATAAAATTTTCAAAATGAACCAAAGAAAGTAAGAGCAGCATATATACAGTGCATTGTGAATATGAAAAACAAGTCTAACCTTATGAACTTTGAACGCTGATCATGATCAGCATCTGGTCCAGGTTTTGTAACTCCTTCAGGAATATAAGCTTCATAAATTGAATTAGCAGAAGCATTTCCCCCCACCTCCATCATTGCGTCTATTTCATCCTCTGACCAGTCATCCAATGCCACAGACAAAACCTGAGAATAAAAAACAATACTGTGTTCAGCATTCACACCACTCTTAACTAGATTGGAATGAATAGACTTAGTTTTGAAAAGAAAGTAACAGATAAGAAAAGTTGCATCTCCATCATTGATAGACACAGCCCACTAAAAAAAACTAGGTCAATCATAATTATGAGTCAATTTGCCAACATGTGAAGATTTGATTGCTTAATTTCATGCCAACCTTTAAGGTTGTTTAGTTTTGGAAATTCACCCTGAACATGTTGGACCCACTCAGAATGATAACCTCACATTTGGAGTGTAAATGAGAAATATAGGAAAAAGGAGCAGAAAAATAAACCAGTTGTTGCAATCATTATGTTTAATCTTTTGGTTGTTATTCTGTTTACCTTGTCAGCTTAGTTTTCCGAGGTTGTTATATTCTTGTTATTTAGTACTGGCTAAAGTGGGTGGAGGGGAGGTTACTTATTGGGAACGCCCATTCAGAAGCTTAGCTCTGACGATTGGTGTCTATGAGTTTGTCGGGTCACCATTGTAAACCTTGTACTAATCTTTCAGAATGAACAAAAGCATATAAACAATACTGTTCCAAAGGTCAACACAGCTAATAGTTAGATATTAGTAATATAGAATATAGGTATACCCACCATCAAAAGTCAGACATGGTGTTAGGATCAAGTCAGGGACAGAACCTTTAAGGGAAAAGGGTCTAAAGGTGTGTTATAGGAGGAAAATGGAGTAAAGGGTAACAGTTTCACAGGAGGTTAAGAGAGTTAGTTAATTCAGTTTTCCCTAGAAATAAACTTCCTCTCGGTAGGCAGGGAACTTATGGGAAAAATTGTTATAAAACTGAACAGATTCCAGTGGAACTTTAGAGAGGTATTCGTATACCTTGGTTCTTGGCTTGTGCTGAGTTTTAAGTAATAAAGAGAGGAAATTCTGAATCTTTTGCTTGGACTTGTTGAAAAAAGGGAATGAGAACAATATGGAGGCTTTCCAGCAACTTCAACAAGCGGAGACTACAGCCTGATTTTTGTCTATGCCTGACTTTACAAAACCATTTTCCATAGAATGTGATGCTTCAGGGAAATGAATTGGAGCTGTTAGCACAAGGGAAGAAACCAATGGCTTATTCGGGGCAGTACTTGTTGGGGGCAGAAATTCATTGTTTATAGACCAAAAAAGCCCACAGCACCTTTTGGAGCAACGAATTACTACTCACAGCCTAGCACAATCCCTCTATTGGATTGGCATGAAAAGTTACATATCCAACTATGTGGCTGCGTGTCAGGTGTGTTAAAAACGTAAATATCAGGCTTTCTCTCCAGCTGGACTGCTCCAACCATTACCTATCCTAAATGCTATTTGGGAAGAAATCATGGATTTTATTGTTGGACTGCCCAGAATAAAAGAGTATGATGCTATTTGAGTAGTAGATGACAAATTAAGCAAGTATAGGCACTTTATTTTGATTAAACACCATATTCAGCTAGATCCATGGTTGAGGTGTTTTACGAAGAAATTATTGGACTGTATCAACTGCCAATTTCCATTGTTAGTGACCGAGAGCCTACATACATAAGTCATTTTTGGCACAAGTTGTTCTACGAGGCACAACATTGAAAATGAGAACAGTATATCATCCAACATCAAATGGGCAGACAGAGGTACTTAACAGGACATTGAAAATTTATTTGAGGTTTTTAGCTTAGAAAACCCAAAATATCGGCCAAATTTCTTCCTTGGGCAGAATACTGGCATAATACCAGTTTTCAAAGTATTGCACACTGCACATCTTTTGAAGTGGTATATCGAAAACCCTGCCTAAATTGATCAAATTTATACCAGGTAGTTGGTGGAAGCTGAAGCTCAAGACTTGGGGGACAGGGATGAAACTTTGAAACAGCTAAAGTTTCATTTGGAGAAAGCTCAAAATCAGATGGCTCATTACACAAATACTCACAGGAAACCAGCTCAAATGCAGCCAGGAGATTGGGTGATGGGGATGAGGAGAAAATTAATGGGCCAGAAGAATTATTGATCCATGAAGCTGCCAGCAAGCCCAAGACGTGGTTGGTTTACAAGAGAAGGGAGAAGAAAATAGAAAAAAGAAAATAGATATGCTGAGGTGGAAGTTAGTTAGAAGGTAGAGAAAATAATTAATTATATAATAGGTTTGTTTCTGTGAGGGTATCTGGAGGTTATTTCTCTTGATGCATAGTTATTCTTGTTTTTTGGTCCAATTATCAAAATCATCCCGTTTTTCTTCCATATTTTGCCTTTTTTCCGATAATACTGTTTGTCAAGTTTTCTGATTCGTAACAAATTGGTCCGACCTGCCGGATGCAAACACTTCCGTGAATACCAAGAAACAAGAAACCAACGAACGCAGCACCGATGTCTAATGAAATGGTGGATTCTCGTTTGGAAACGGTGGAAAAGGAACTTTCCGGTTTACGATTGACGATGGAGGAAAATCAGAAGAAGATGATGGAGTTTATTGTTCAAAGCCTTAGTGGCTTTGCCAAAGATCTAGAGAAAAGGAGGGCAGAGATGCCAGAGAACCATGGTGAGGAAGTTCATTCATCCAATGACGGACCCGAAGGCGAAAAGGAGGATGGAAAAGGCATTTGGGAAGGGAATGAGAGTGATGGAGACCCCAAATTCCAGGGTGATACCTTGGAGGAATTTAGGCAATCCGCAAAGAAGGTCGAACTTCCGTCGTTCAACGGCGAGGACCCCGCCGGGTGGATATCACGTGCAGAAATTTATTTCCATATTCAAAATACAAGAGATTCAGTACGCGTGCGTCTGGCGCAATTGTGTATGGAAGGAGGGACGATACATTTTTTCAATTCGTTGCTCAACGAAAGGGAAAATATCTCCTGGGAACAGTTGAAGGAAGCATTATTGGATCGTTATGGAGGTTTGGGAAAAGGGAATGCATACGATCAACTTATGGCGTTGGAGCAGACCCATGACGTTGATCAATATATCCAGAATTTTGAGTTTCTAATGGCACAAATTCCCTGAATTCCAGACAAACAGTATTTTTCATTCTTTACACGTGGATTGAAGGAAGATATTCGTGATCGTGTGAGGAGTATGCAAGCTATGGGGACTCTTACTCGTTCACGTTTACTTAACGCCACACGAACAGTAGAGGTGGAACTTAGGAGTAATGGCAGATTGGTCTTTTCACCAGGAAGGATGGATCCACGTGGGTCGCATTGGTCTACAAGGCCCAATTCAAGTGTGGTATTCAGAAATCAAACAAAAATTGAGAAAGGGGCTAGGGGTCAGGTTTTCACAGGTGGAACTAATGGGCCGGGGTCCAATTCACGTGAGGTGGTGCAAGGAAGAAATGGTGGTGGACTAAGAGATCGTGGGGTGAGACAAATGTCATATAATGAGCTTATGGATAGAAGACAACGTGACCTTTGTTTTAAGTGTGGTGGAACCTATTCACCTCAACACGTTTGTCCAGAAAAACAATTGAAGTTAATGCTAACTGATGAAAGAGATATGGAAGATGATCAGTCTGATTCCGAGTACGTGATTTTGGCCGATACGGACCGAATTGATGGAGAATGTTCTATTCTTCACTTGCGTAATCTGTGGCACCAAGGTGAGGACATGTCGCAACCGAAAACATTGAAGCTTGAAGGGGAAATTCATGACATTCCTGTATGTGTTTTGGTGGATAGCGGAGCCACTCACACCTTTATCTCTAGAAGTTTAGTGGAGGCAATGGGATGGTCGATAGAAGAGACGAAAGACTTGAAGATCTTGATGGGGGATGGCCATAAATCAATTACGCGTGGAAAGTGTCTAGAACTTCATATTAAATTGGGCCATCGGACGTTTGTATTAGACGCCTATTTGTTCGATCTTGAAGATATTGACGTTGTGTTAGGAATTTCATGGCTGGCTTCCTTGGGGGAGATGATTATTGATTGAAAATTTCAGTCTCTTCGTTTTGTGCATAACGGTGAATGGGTTTAATTAAAAGCAACCACACAGCACAATAAAAAACAAGGCATCCTTAACTCGCTAGAAGGGATGATTTCTACTAAAAAGGTAGGGGCAAAAGTTGGGGAAAGTGAAAGCGAGCTGGTGACAGTGTTGGACCAGATGCAGAAACAGGACTTACAAGGATTATTGGATCGATTTAAATCTGTTTTTCAAGAACCGCAGGGTTTGCCCCCTAATAGAACCAAAGTACATAGCATTACCTTATATCCTGGTCAAGGCCCAATCAACGTGCGTCCTTATCGATATGCACATCATCAAAAAGACGAGATTGAACGTCAAGTCAAGGAATTATGGGATAATGGGGTTATTCGACAAAGCAGCAGTTCATTTTCTAGTCCGGTGATTCTGATAAGAAAAAAAGACAAGTTGTGGAGGATGTGTGTAGACTACAGGGCGTTGAACAAGGTGTCCATTCCGGATAAATTTCCAATTCCCGTTATTGAGGAGTTGTTGGATGAGTTGCATGGAGCAAAGTTCTTCTCAAAACTGGATTTAAAATATGGTTATCATCAAGTTAGGATGAGAGAAGAAGACATAGAGAAGACTGCCTTTAGGACACATGAGGGTCACTATGAGTACCTCGTGATGCCCTTCGGGCTAATGAATGCTCCTTCGACGTTTCAAGGTCTAATGAATGATATATTTCGAGGTAAGTTGAGGAAATCAGTATTGGTTTTCTTTGACGACATTTTAATCTTTTCTAAGAGTTGGAAAGAGCATATGCAACACTTAGAGGAGGTATTCCAAATTTTGCAAGAGCAAGTTTTATTTGCCAATGAAAAGAAGTGTTTCTTGGCAAGGAGGCAAGTGGAGTATTTGGGACATATCATATCAGAAGAGGGAGTAGCGGTAGACCCGGAGAAAGTGAGGAGTGTAATTAATTGGCCAATACCCAAGAATGTAAAAGGGGTAAGAGGTTTTCTTGGTTTGACAGGCTATTACAGGAAGTTTGTTCGTGATTATGGTAAAATAGCTCGACCCTTGACAGAATTGACTAAGAAGGATGCCTTTAAATGGGGAGATGAGGCTCAAACAACTTTTGACACATTGAAGAAAAGGTTAACTACAGCTCCGGTGCTGGTATTGCCGAATTTCGACAAGGAATTTGTGGTGGAGTGTGATGCTTCCGGGTTGGGAGTAGGGGCAATAATGATGCAAGACAAGCATCCAGTGGCATTCTTTAGTAAGGCTCTTAGTACTCAGAATTTGAACAAGTCCACGTATGAGAAAGAATTGATGGTCGTAGCTCTTGCAGTGAACCATTGGAGACCTTACCTTATTGGGAGACATTTCTCAGTTTTGACAGATCATAAGAGTCTTAAACAGCTCCTTCAACAGAAAGTTATCTCTAGTAACCAGCAGAATTGGATAGCTAAATTGTTGGGTTATAACTTTGATATTATTTACAAGCCTGGGGCGGACAATAAAGGGGCTGATGCTTTATCAAGACAAATGGAAAGTGGTGAATTAAGGAGTCTTATGTACCTTCCGGTGTGGATGGATAGTAAAGCAATTGTGGCTGAAGTGCATGAGGATGCAAAATTAAGGGAAATTATTGAAAAGATCAAGAAAGGTGAAGAGGTTCCTGCGGGTTTTACTTACCAACACGGAGTTCTATTATTTGAAAACAGATTGGTGGTGGCGGCCAACTCTGATTGGATTCCAAATATCTTGGAAGAATTCCATGTGACTCCTCAAGGGGGCCATTCTGGCTATTTCAGAACCTATAGGCGGTTGGCGGCTAACATATACTGGAAGGGGATGAAAAGGATGGTGCAGCATTATGTGAGAGCGTGTGACACTTACCAAAGGCAAAAATATTTAGCAACTACACCAGGAGGGTTGCTACAACCTTTGTCAATTCCAGAAAAGGTTTGGGAAGATATATCTTTAGACTTCATTATGGGTCTACCTAAATCTAAGGGATATGAAGCAATTCTGGTAGTGGTAGATAGGCTAACAAAGTATGTCCACTTTGTTCCACTTAAGCATCCTTACACGGCCAGAATGTTGGCTGAAACATTTGTGAAAGAAATAGTGAGGTTGCATGGGATCCCAAATTCCATAGTCAGCGACAGAGACCCCATTTTCATAAGTCAATTTTGGAAAGAGTTTTGCAAACTACAAGGCACAACCCTTAACATGAGTACTGCTTATCATCCACAATCGGATGGTCAAACGGAGGTGGTGAATAGGAGCTTAGAGACATATTTGAGGTTTTTTATCACTGATCAACCCAAACAATGGGTGGTTTGGCTCCCGTGGGCTGAGTACTGGTATAATACATCCTACCATGAGTCCACTCAAATGACTCCTTTCGAGGCAGTGTATGGGAGGAAACCTCCATCTTTAGTAAGGGGGATCCAAGGAGAAATAAGGGTAGAAGCGGTTCAACAAGAGTTGGAGGATAGAGATGAAATTTTAAGGCAACTAAAGGAGCATCTTACAAGGGCTCGGGTCGGAATGAAGAACCAAGCGGACCTCAAAAGACAAGAGAGGAAATTTGAAGCAGGTGAATGGGTTTTTCTGAAATTACGCCCTCATAGACAGAATTCGGTTTCTCTCAGGGTTAATACCAAACTTGCAACAAGGTACTACGATCCTTTTGAGGTGTTGAGCAGAGTTGGTGAGGTGGCTTATCGTTTGAACTTACCATCTACTTCAAGAATACACCCAGTTTTTCACGTATCATTGTTGAAGAAAGCAATTGGCAACTACCAGACTCAACCAGAACTACCTACTGAGTTGGGAGAAGAGGATGCAGAGTTGTGGAATCCTACTTCTATTTTAGCCGGAAGAGAAGTCGTAACACCGGAGAGATAGTGAAGCAAGTGTTGGTGCAATGGGCAGCAAAGCCGACCGAGGAAGCTACATGGGAGGATGCCATTATGATAAAAAATCAGTTCCCTCATCTCCATCTTGAGGACAAGATCAATTTTCAAGAGAGTGGCAATGATGGGGATCAGGAGAAAATTAATGGGCCAGAAGAATTATTGATCCATAAAGCTGCCAGCAAGCCCAAGACGTGGTTGGTTTACAAGAGAAGGGGGAAGAAAATAGAAAAAAGAAAATAGATATGCTGAGGTGGAAGTTAGTTAGAAGGGAGAGAAAATAATTAATTATATAATAGGTTTGTTTCTGTGAGGGGAGGGGGGATTTTGGATTTTACGGGTATGGAGAGAGAATATCTCTTTGTAATACTGAGTAGTGCTCTGGGGTATCTGGAGGTTATTTCTCTTGATGCATAGTTATTCTTGTTTTTTGGTCCAATTATCAAAATCATCCCGTTTTTCTTCCATATTTTGCCTTTTTTCCGATAATACTGTTTGTCAAGTTTTCTGATTCGTAACATTGGGTTTATTTAAAAATACAACCTCATGACAACTCTCTAATCCTACCCTATTGCACCCAAAACTATCAGCCTGATATTATGGACCTTTTTTGATTCTAAAACAGATAGGAGTAGTAGCTTTTAAACAGCAGCTTCCAGAACAGGCCCAAATACACTCTATTTTTCATGTTTACCAGCTCAGGAAAGCATGGATAGCAGCCTCTGGACATAGACCTTCCATTCAAGTTGCAGGTAGCGAAGAAGGATATCAACCTCACAACATCATAGGAAATCAAACAATTACTCAGCAGGGTGCAACAATTCATCAAGTTCCTGTGCAATTGCAAGGAAAATCTCCAGAGGAAGCTACTTGGGAAGATTCTTTCATCATCATCCGAGAATAATCTCCAGAATTTAACCTTGAGGACAAGGTTGTACCTGAGGGAGGAGGTATTGTTATGGCCAAGTCAGAACAACAACCTTTAAGGGAAAAGGGTCTAAAGGTGAATTATAGGAGGAAAAAGAAGTGGTAAGAGGGTAATAATTTAACAGGAGGTTACGAGAGTTAGTTAATTCAGTTTTTCTCTATAAATAAACCTCCTTTAGGTAGAGAGGGGACTTTTGGGAAATATTGTTGTAAAACTGGACAGATTCCAGTAGAAAGGAGTTTTTATTGTTGTATACCTAAGTTCTTGGCTTGTAATGAGTTTTCAGTAATAAAGAAAGGAAATTCAGAATCTTCTTCTCTGTGTGTACTGTTGTTTCGTGTTAGGATTTTCAATTCTGTAAAGAAGATCCTAACACATGGTTAGTAATACATTCATGAATAAATTAAAATCAGAAATAGAATTGACACGAGGGAAGATGCCTGGTGATGTTTTAACTTAAGCGTCATTTTACATTGCCAATGTCCAATTGTCTTGTATATCTAACACATTTAAGTACAATTCATTGCACAAAAACATGTCTATTGAATCTGGAATTGAAATACAAACAATAGAATAAATTATTCTTTCTTTCCTCCATGGGTGGGTGTATTTGGCAAAACTAGCAAATCAACTAATGGAAAGTTGAGAAGTTAGTTGAAAGCTTAAAAGTTAACTAAAAGCAAGAAACCTGTGGAAGTTGATAAGCTAGGTATTCCAGGATGGGCCGCTAAAAAGGCTCAGTCCCAGGGGCATGTCTGACTCTCCAAAATTACAATTTACTGTTCTGAAGAATGTGTTCAACATGGCAGGTCACTATAGATTATCAGTCTTTAAATTTGTTGAAGGCAAAAAGGAGAAGATACTCAATTCGAGCATCATATTAAGCATTTCCAAGATAAGAAAAAATTATTCTAAGATCCAGACATGAATTACTTCGAGAACAATGAGACAACTTATGAATGGTAGTGAATGGTTTACCTTTGATATATGAGTACCGAGGCTTCTGTGCACACCACAACATTTTAAGCATATAAAAACTCCAATGTTGGCAGACCTGAAAAGAAGTCAGCAAAAGTGAATTCACAAATTAAAAGAGTGATATTCATGATGCATTCTTTAATATATCTTACAAGGAGCTAGTTTCCTACAGATTTATGTGATATTCACAATCAGTTCACCAAAACAAGTATGATAATGCCAATTAACATAAACCACAAATGTCATGAGAGAAAAAATGCAACACTTACGCCCATTTAGGATCTGGAGCATTACAATCAGCACAACAACGATTATCACTCTGAAGCAGTAAAGTTCTTAATTTTCTTCTACCTGTAAAAGGCCTTCCAATCATTCAAATTCTCAAGAAAACAAGTTAAAATAGCAAGTTCCATGTAAGATATTTTTTACCAAAAAAAGCAAAACAAGATATTATGACTAATTTTCCAATCATCCCTGTTCATCTTTTATAAATATTTAATAACTTTCTCCATTTAAAAAGTGAAAATATACCCTCCTTTCCCTTTCCATCTAAACCCTAAATGCTCAAGCCACAGAGAATATTTACTGATAAAGTGTGTAATTCTTAACCAGATATAGTTCCATTCACAACAATCTAGTCAATCGTCATTTCTAAACCATTAACAATATCAGAAAACTACAGGAAAATGTAACCTAAAAGGAGTGCTAGTAAAATCTTCTTTCTCCAGCCGTTCAAGGGTTGGGGGAAAGGGAAAATGTTAGATACAAAGAATAATTTTTGCCATTTTGGAAAAAATGAGTTGCCATAATCATTGACACTTGGATAGATAAGTGATCCCTAATTCCCTAACGATTGCTCATGAATCTAGCCGAATTCTTCAAAATTACAGGCCTTCTTTTTGGCCGTGTATCATTACTCTTAACAAGAAGTCATAAGGAAGTATCATGTTTTGCAAATAGGTCGGTGGAATGTAACTACTTGTTTTGAGCCAACAATAATAGTCTTAGTTGTATACACCTCATTAATATATAATATCAAATTAAATATCATAAGATTACCTGAGGCAGGTCTTGCATTTTCCACTCGATTGTTACTCATTGGCAAGCTTAAAGCCCAAAATCATCCAGGCTGCAGCCTCTACAATAGTCAAGCAAAACAACCTGGAAAGGAAGAAAGAAATATCTGTTTAAGCTTTTCAATGCCAAATTGTGCCAAAAACTGAAAACTCAATTAAACCTGTAAGGACAAAACATAGATACAGTCCCTGGGTGTTTTTGGCTTTTAGTACCGTTTTCTGATAAAAAATGTGTTTCATCTCAATAATCATGTAATAAACTCTAATTCTAATTGGAGAAAACCACCAAAAGCACATTGATCGGAAAACAACACTAAAAGCACCTAAAGAACCAAATCTAAGAATTATTCTTCCTTTAACTACAAAACATGTCCTCTACATTCAATTTTACACCTTAGGAACAAAAGAAGATTTAGATAATTACATGACCAATAGAATAATTCCAAAGAAAAAATAGTCCAGTTATACTCCGAAGAGAAGGAACAAAAAAGACTGATACAACTGAAGAAGAGAGAGGTGATCAGACAATCAGAACTAAGTTTTTTGAAGTCATGTCCAGACATTCACATATTTTTCTCACTGATTACATACAATGTCTAAATATAGTAGCATAAGATACATAAACATGCATATCCAAGCATTGTTCTTTGAAGTAGAAAATGAAAACTAGACTACTGAAAACACCAACTTCTACAATCGCTCCTCCTCACAAAACAGACACAGGAAAAAAAAAAGGTTTTGGAGCATCTCCAAATTATTATGCAAGTGATGCAAAATCCCAAAATAATCAAAGGGAAAAAAAATGAACATTGAACCCTACCTACCACAGTTTTTTTTTTTTTTTTTTTTTCAGCAATAGTAGATTTCAGATTTCTTTACATACAGAGAATTGGACAACGATGTTCGGAGCATGCAAAAACCTGAGGTCGGTCAAATTGTGGATATTATAATGGATTTCGGGATAGTGATAAAGAAATCCCTGAGAGGTGTTACATTGCATGAAACGGACGAGTCTTATGACGGGGAAATAAAGGACATTGAAGAAAAAGAAGAGATAGAAAATTGGTGGGAGTGGAATTGAGATCAGAATGAGAAAGTGAAGCTTACAAGTGAACGAAGGAATCGAAATTGGTGAGCTTGAAATCCACAGAACGTGGGCGATGCGAGGAAGGTGGTGATGATTTCGATGTCCCAATTGGATTGTTCCACGGCAACTACATAATCTTTATTTTATTTTTGAACAATATTTACTTAATTTATTTCAAAATAAGCTTCTAAGTCCTAACATTTAATAAATGCTCTCTATTTACGTCGTATCTTATCTTCCTACTCGTTATCGAGGGAGAATTATTGCAAGGGTCACCTACTCTCTTTTTTTTCATAAATTTGTAAATTTTGAAAAAAATTGTTAATATTTTTTATTTCAGTTTTAATTATTAAAATCAATTGATATATATTAAGTTATATAGCTGTTTAAAATGATAATATTTTTTTTTGTCTTTACTAAATTTTATTTTTAGTTTTTTTTAATAAAAAATTCCTATTTTAACTTTTTGACATTTTTTATATAATTTACTGATTTTTATTTTAAGTTTTTTATTTTTCTATTTTTTTCTCTTAATTGATCTTCTAATTAAATTACTATATTAAATTTAATAAAAATATGTTAAAACAAATATTTTAAAAATAACATTAAAATTAGGAGAATATTATCTAAATATTTAAAATTATGATGATAATAAATAATTTTATTTATTTTGACAATAAATTATTTATTATGACATAAATAAATAATTTAAAATTATTTTATTATAATAAATAATAATTATTTAATTAAAAAATATCAAATTTTTATAATTTAAATATTTTTATTTAATATTTTAATCTAGTTATAATTAAATTGGGTTATGATAATTACGTATTTTACAAAAATATTAATTAAAAAATATTTTAAAATAAATATTTAGTTTTTTCTTAATAATTATAATATAATAATAATATTTGTAAATGAAAAAAAAGAGAAAAAAAACTTTATATAAAATCAATTTATTTTTTTCTTATTAAAGTTTATGAATGAATAATAAATTTAGTTGAATAAATAAACTTAAAAAAATTTATTATAAATAATTTTTTTATAAATATATTATTTATATATGAAATGTTAAATATATAATATATATTATTAATATATATATATATATATATATATATATAAAGTTTTTAAATATCAATTAAACTAGCATGTATTTTTATAAGACATTAATTATTCATCATTTTATTAATTTATTTGTTTGATTTTATTTTCCAATTACTTTTTATTTTATTAACTTACTTATTTATTTTTTCTCTCTTAACTTTCGCTTATAAATTTAAATCATAATCATATATTTTTATAAAAGATATTTACAAATCAATAAAACCAATTACTTAAAAATATCATAATTACGATAACTAAATTAATTATAATAATTTTACTAACTCATGATTATAAAAAGTATCGTATCAACTAAAATAAAAAATAAAGTAATCATTTTTCACATTTTTATTCACAAAACAATAAAATTATAGACTCTTTATAGGAAAACAAACAAATAAATAATTAAAAACAAAATATTGTTATTATTAAATTTATTTTTTCTTATGCAATGAGAAAAAAAATTAATAAGAAAGTGTAAAAAAATTGTAATATAAATATAAAAAAACATTTAATAGAGAAGATTCGAAAATTATAAAAAGATAATATTTTATATTTTACAATTTTTTATATGAGATGGAAAAATATAGAAATTAAAACTAGGACTAATGTTACATACAGTTTTCTTATATTTACAATAAAATACCAATATTTACGATAACATTATTTTAATTTTAAGTGTTATTATTATTATTATTATTTATATAATATAAGAAATTCTGTTCTGCAATACTATTAAAAATAAAATTAAATATTTTATTATAATTAGATGGTTTCCATTTTAAGTAATTTTCTCCGCCATTAAATCACGAGATCCACGTTATAATATTTATTTTTATTCATAATCAGTTATGATAAGAAATGCTCTATTCAACAAAGAATACACAATAGAGAAATTTAGGATGTACCAATAGAAAAGATCCACGTGGCGATGCTGATGATAAGCATATGAGAAATTTGTGTGGGGAGATAAGAAAGCAACGTCCAAACATTAACATTTAATTCAAACATAAAACAGTTAGTTTCATGGCTAACTATTCCCACCCTCATATCTGCCAATGTCTGAGTCGCGTGCTAGCCTTCCGGCGACATTTTCCGGTCACCATCACCGGAAACCGCCATAAAACTGGTCAACAGTTGGTGGAGGATGTGTTGTCTTTGGCTCAAGGCCTACTTCACCTTGGACTCGCACCTGGTCACGTGGTTGCCATCTCTGCATATAATAGGTACCCTTTGCTTTGCTTCCTCACTCTTAATATTTCTCTCCCATTCTTTTTTCTGTTACTGTCTCATACGTACAAAAGAATGCTTCAGTTAGAAGTTCTACTACTGTTCTAGGAGAATCTCTCCTTTATTATTTTCATTTTGCATTTGCATGACTCTTCCCCCCCTCCCTGTGGTGGTTTGTGTTGAGAATTTGAGATGATGATGACATGGGCACGTGCCTTTCCTTATTAAGGTCAAACAATGCAATAAATTTTACTTAATGCTGGGTATTTTTGAGGGGAGGAAGATTCTCAATGAATGAAACTGAGTCAACCACAGAATACGATACCAGTTTCAGTTACAAAAATGCATTTCAACCGTAACTCAAATTTCTTTGAGATTTCAACTCACTTGAATTTCCAACACTTAATAATAAAACAATATTAAAAAAAATGCATTGAGCGTATTGCTTCTTTTCCTCGCTTACAGCTGAATGTACTTGAGCAAGATACATACATATATTTATGAGCCTCTTTATTCAGTGATAGGTATCTGGAATGGTTATTAGCCATTGCATTTGTTGGAGGAATAGCTGCTCCTCTGAACTATAGATGGGTGAGTAAATTTTCTGTAGACTTGATGGCTTAGTTCTTTTACCTGTGCGCTACTTTTAACTTGGTATTTTTCACAAGCGCTATTTCGATGCTAATATGGCAGTTCAGGGCAATTTTCAACCCACCTTCTTATCAATCATAACTAGCTACCTTAAAAGTTAATATGTTTTCAGCCTTCTACTGGTTGTTTGAAAAAAAAAAGTGTTTTTAGTTTCTATACTTCAGTCAAACATGGTCATAGTCCCTATAATTCATATTGTTAAGTTTGGTCTCAAACTTTAAAAAAACAGGCGATTTTAGTTCCTCTGTTTTAAGAATTCATCGTGTTTTTAAGATTAAGAAGGACTAAACTAAATTCACATGTTTTTAAAAATTTTGAGAACCACATTCATCAATATGAAAGTATAGAGACTTTGACCGCATATGATTAAAAGTATAAGGACTAAAAATGTATTTTTCCCTTATTCTATCTACACTTTCTTTTCTCACAACCTGATTCATATACTAATCATAAAGTTATGCTTTAAATCAATTTTCTTTCCTGCAGAGTTTTGAAGAGGCAAGATTAGCATTGGCTGCTGTGAAGCCAGTGTTATTAGTGACTGACAACAGCAGTTACACATGGTACTCAACAAAACTCCAGAAAAATGACATTCCATCGCTGAAGTGGCATATTTTGTTGGATTCCCCTTCCTTTGATTTTACTGAGTGGAACGGTAGGAACATTACTGGGTACTTAGTCATTTTTGTGAAAAATACGCATGAAACCTTTTTTTCACTTAAATGATTTTTGTAACTTATTCCTTTTACTGCTTTGCAGTGTTAACACCAGAAATGATTAAGAGGCATCCTGTAAAGCTTGTACCATTTGATTACTCATGGGCACCTGAAGGCACTGTCATAATATGCTTTACTTCAGGTTCAGGATTCTCACTCATTTACTTTTCCTCTGCACTCCAACTGATTGTGGTTGGGGGGTTAGTAGAGAAGTAAGGCACTGTTTCCAAAATTGCTGTTTACATGCTAGTTGCAGATAATTAGGAGTTTGAAATATAGGTGACTTATATAGATCTTTCATTCTACTGAAGGAGACCCTTTTCAACACCACTGGCATGGCTTTTTATTAGTAGTGCATGTGCTACTGTTTAAATATTACTGTAGGGGTGTTAATTTCTGATCGAATATATATATATTTTCCTGAAATTGTTGTATTCTTGACTGTAGGAACTACAGGAAAGCCTAAGGGAGTTTCTCTAAGCCATGGAGCTTTGCTTATACAATCCTTAGCCAAGATTGCAATAGTTGGCTACAACGAGGATGATGTATGCCATTCTGTATTACGTGAAGTTCATGTTATTGGTCATGAAAACTTGCCATTATATCAGAACACAAGGCTGTCAATATTAAGATTTTGAATTTGGCTTCTCTTAAGTGAGCAAAGATAAAGTAACTTCAATCATTGATGAGAAGATTAATGATTGATATCCCATAACATGAACGATCTGTTATGTGTATGTGCACACAATATTGATTGTTAATTTTCTCATCAAAGATTGACATTTCCCAGTGCACACCCTAAAGCGAGTTGCTTATTTTAGACGGATCCGGATCCTAAGATTTTACATATGTGAAAGTTACATGGTAAATCCAGCTGAAACAGCTGAAGAATGATTAAGTTTTCCTTGTTATGCCATTTGTTCTGTTACAGGTCTATCTGCATACTGCACCATTATGCCATATTGGTGGCTTGTCATCAGCCATGACCATGCTTATGGTTGGAGGTTGCCATGTCTTGATGTCAAAGTTTGATGCAGAATCAGCTATTGGTGCCATAGAGCAATATGCAGTGACATCTTTTATCACAGTTCCTGCAATAATGGCCAGTCTGACTTCTATAATTAGGTATATTCCAGAGTCAATACGAACAGAACTTTGTCCTTATTTGTAACAAAGATTATCACATCTAGTTATCTAAAAACAATTTAATTTATGAAAGTAAATATTGCTAAATTAACATTGCAATATTTTAACCTACAGTAAAACGAAATATTATTTTAGCTGCTCACGATAATGTCATAAAGTTGTCGGGTTTTGTGGATCAAACTCTGTTTCATCGTTTTTATGTCTAATATGCTAACAGTTCTTCTGCATAAATGTTTGCTATCTTTTTTTTACCTTAGAAACCAAGTATCAGAGTTTATGAATACATTTTTTGCAACTATTCTCAGTCTAGATTTGTTGTTTTGATAATTTTAGGCAGAAAGATATCTGGAAAGGAGGAGAAACTGTCAAGAAAATACTCAATGGGGGTGGAAGCCTCTCACATGAGCTCATCCAGGACACTAGCATATTCTTTCACAATGCTAAACTTATTTCAGCTTATGGTAGGTCTTTCTTATTCCTATATTGGCTAGAGGAAACATTATTTTCTAATATTAGGTGGGAAAAAATTGCATATGAACATATGCAACTAGCAGAAGAAAAATGTGTATGTAGTCAATCTAAAGAAAAAATAGATGATACAGGGAAAGGGAGAAAAGGGAAAGGGAAAGATAAGAACCTAGAAGGAATTGCAAAATATTTAGCCAACAATCAATATCATGATTATAAAAAGTAATATACAGAAGGACCTGTGAAACATATTGGATACATTATTCAAGTAATCAATTTAACTGTGAAACGGTCTAAGGAACCATATTGGAAGCCAAAATCAATGATATCCTTAATTCCTTATTAAAAGATCATAGCAAGTCACTGCTTATTGAAAGCCCCATAAATTAGAACCAACGTGCCAACAAACTGAAATCCTTTGCAGTTGTTCTTCCCAGTCTTAAGAGCTTCTTTTTACTAAGATCCCAGTTTATTATATGTAGCACTATAACTGTATGGTGAAAGAGAAATATGGTCCTGCAAATAAATTAAATATATTTTTCGAGGAATTTCATTTAAAGCTATTTAAAGTTTATCTAGTACATAGTCACCAGAAACATGGCCGTAGCCTAGTTTGATCATCTTCCTTCTTCAAGCTGCTTTATATGAGATATTGGAAAGCCCTTGATTAATTCATTACCTATCTAGCTGGGCTAATAGGTATTGGGAATATGTGTGTTCTACTGCAATAACATGATGAAAGAATAGCATTCCCAGATCTGTATCTATGAAAGCACTGGTTTGATTTATTAGGCTGGAGAACATTATCTTAACCAAAGGAATAGACAAGCCAACAAACAGTTAAGTCTACATTGAAGAACGTGTGCTTCTGTTTTTTCACTATGACAAGATCAAAATTTTCACTTTTCTCCTTTTTTGTTTTATTTTATCAGTATACATTTACTCACATCATACCAAAGGACAAGAATTTACAATGTGTAATGGCCACTGAAATTTGACCATTTTAAAATTTCTCTAGGTCCTCTAGTGCATAATAATGGATGGAAATTCATTGGTCTGGTCTTATAGCCTTTGTCTGTTTCATTTGTCAAAGGGATGACAGAGACATGCTCTTCATTGACATTCCTGACACTGTATGATCCAATGTATGAAAAGACAAACCAGTCCCTTCAAACATTTGATGTCGCAGGATCCAAGTTTAGTCAGCAGCCACAAGGTGTTTGTGTTGGCAAGCCTGCTCCCCATGTAGAACTGAAGATAAGTGCTGATGCTTCTGGGATAATTGGGAGAATTCTAACTAGAGGACCACACATAATGCTTAGGTATTGGGAAACTCTCAGAAATCCATTAAATCCAAATAATGAAGCCTGGCTTGACACAGGTGACATTGGATCAATTGATCATTATGGTAATTTGTGGCTCCTTGGTCGAACAAATGGTCGAATCAAGAGTGGTGGGGAGAACATTTACCCTGAAGAGGTAAAAGAAGTGTCACATAACCTGATTTGCTTATCATAAAGACAAATTTAAACCAAAAGAATCTGCTGCTTTATTACAAATGATTATCCTTCAAAAGGATGAACCACAGCTCTTATATCTTGAATAATCAAAATGGATCATAATTGCATGAATTAAGATGCCAAAATAATAAGAAAAGGTTAATGGTACTTTCCTTGTGATGCTATTGTTTCTTAGTTAATTCAAATGTATTTGATTGCTCCTATATAAACTTAACTATAGGATGGAATCTTCCTCGTCTTCTTTCATAAATTTTGACTATCAGGACAAAAAGTCTCTCATAAAGAGTCGTGTTTTTTCAAACTATACCTTTTCATGGTTTCACCGATTACAGATCCATTCCACTAAGGTTATATTTTTCCAAGTACGTTCATTGCGTGATGTATTTGAATATACCATGCAACCAATGTTTAAATCAATCAATGATACGTCTAGGAATAAAATTTCAGACTCATACAAGTAATGTAAGAAAAATAATTAAATGTAAAGCATTTCTGCCTTGCATGTAATGTACTTCATCAATTCTTGTTTACGATATTTACAACTCCATGAAAATGTAATCATGTGTTATTTATTTGAAGTAGGTTGAGGCAATTCTACTACAACATCCAGGGATTGCAAGTGTTGTTGTTCTGGGAATCCCAGATGCTCACCTAACAGAGATGGTAGTAGCGTGTATCCAACTTAGGGAAAATTGGCAATGGTCAGAGCAGTCGACTATTTCAAATGAAGAGCCTATGCTATCTAGAAAGAATCTCCATCAATATTGTATACAAAATCATTTAAGCAGGTATTTCTTCAAAATCCATGTTTCTGAGATAATACTTTGTTAGTTTGGTTGAGAGAACCCAATATGTAGCAGCCGGGGTTTAGTGATGATTTATTTTTATTCACTTTTCAGGTTTAAGATACCAAAAATGTTTATTACATGGAAAAAGCCATTTCCACTCACTACCACAGGGAAAATAAAAAGAGATCGAGTCAGAAAGGAAGTTATGTCTCAACTAAAATCTTTACATAGTAATCTTTGAATAAATCATGGCCCTTAAACCACGTCATTACATGCAGTGAACGATTTTCTTGGAAGTTGAGAGGGTCGTGTTCCCCAAAGTTTTGTAATTCGTATAAAATTTATTATTTTGATCTCTCCAAACTTAATGAACATTAATATATTTTTTTATATATTTACAATTTTATCCTCTCAACCCCTTCTCAGTTTTGTAACTCTTTTATAATTTTGTCTTTCTCAAATTTAATGATCATTTAGTATATTTAAGTATATATCTATAATTTTATCTTTTTTCTTCCTTTTATATTTATTTATTATTTATTAATAATATATTATTTGGTATTCCAATATTAATGGTCAAGATCCGCCACTTGTTTATGATGAAAACTCGACCAGGGGGTTAACTCGTTAATTTAAGTACAATTTTGTAACTCTAAAAATTTAGTAATCATACATTGTTGTACCACACATTCTTTTTCCCTCCCCCATTTCTTGAAAATACTGTCTTCTTGGTGTAGATGTATTTGATTCAATTCAATTTTAAAGAAATAAATGCTTATTTTTGTAAATTTATGGAAAAAATAAGTTATTATATGTCTGACATAAACTTTTATCATGTAATAAATATAAAAACAAAATAATGAAGGATTAACAAAAGAAAATGGTGGTGAAAGAGGACTTTGCATGCAATCTTTTGATCTAGACCACAACTATAGTTGAAATTATTTTCTGAGTTGATCTATGCACTCTTTCACATGCAATTTAAAACTAATAGAAGTGTTTACTTTCTGTTCCAAATAATTAAAATAACATTTGATTAACACATTAAACCTTGGATTCTATCACCCAAAAAAAAAAAAAAGAGTCCTAAATAACAAAAAACTTTGGATTCCATTACTTAGATGGTGGCATCTCTAAAAAAGTTTGGCACATATTCATTTGCAAAAGCGCTGCATGATGACAACTCTCACGAGGTGCTTTTCTTTCTGCTTTTTAATTTCCTTCTTCCTTTGCCACTAAGGTTTGAAACTTTGTTTGAACTTTGAAGTTGATCAGTGAGAATGAAAAATAAGAGAAAGAAAATAAAAAATAAGATTGTTTGAATTGAGAGGAAGAATATAAAAAATAAAAAAATGGAAAATATTATAAAATATTCTATTGATTTGATTTATTAAAATATATTTTTTTAAATTATAACATAATATACTATATATGCTATACATAATTATATCAAAGACATAATTAGTTATATTCTAAATTTTTTTATATTTTATATTGAGTAAAAAAAAAAGGGAATAAATAATTTACATTTTGATGATATTTTTGACCTCCATCGTTTTGATATGTATCCAAACATGCTGCGAGGGTAATGAAACGAGAACTTCAACCTTGTTGTTTTGTAACTGTATATAATACCAATTTCAACTACAACAAAAAATAAATTGTCCGTGATTAAAAAATGACTCTATTTTTTTTTTCTTTACTTATTTAAACTCCTCCATTTAAAAAAAAAGTTACAAACATCTTTTTTTTTTCAAATCAAACATTTTTTATAAAAATAACAAAACAAAAAGGTAAATTGGCTTTGTAAAGTAAAAACATCCAAGTATAGTAATGAAAAAAAATATATTTTTTGTTATATTAATCAAAATAAGGTGTCATGTTCACGTACATGGTATTTGTCGGTCCAAATAATAATAATAATATGTATATATCACATGCAGTTGACACACGTAGGGACACAACAATTTGTATTCACATGAAATATCTTATTCACTCTTTGATTATTTAAAACTCAAATGCTTTAAGTATATATATATATATATATATATATATATATATAATAATAATAATATTATCATATTTTGAAATAGAGGAAAAATAATTTAAAATATTTTGAAAATTAGATCAAAGATCATTATTTTTTAAATAATTGAATTTTAATTAAATATAAACAAATTAAAATAAATTTAAAAAATCTAAAAAATTGATTGATTTGATGGATGTATCTAATTTGATAAAAAAATTAAGATACTTTTTTTAATAAAATTGTTTTATAAAAAATATAATGGATTTTAATTTTTTATATTTTATTTTTAAATAATAATTATTTTACTTAAATTTTATTTTATTTTAATAATTATTTATCTCACACTTTTTAATATGTTTTTTATATATAATTTTTTATAATTTAAGATGATCGTCAATCTTTATTATTTTAAAATGTATAGTTAATAATTTTATTATATATTTATTATATTATAAAAATATGATTTTAATAAATTTAATTGAACTTCAATTAAGTTCAATTTAATTTTTATCTTGTAATTTTATTTTTATCGATTTAAATCCAGCTCTAAAAATATTAATTAATAATAATAATAATAATTTATTATTATTATTATACCTTCTAATATATCCAAATTATATTTTTAAATTTCCCAAAAAGTTAAAGATTCCCAAAAAGTTAAAGAAGGTAAAATAAAATTTGTAGTAGAAGTTGAAAAACACAAGAGAACAACATGGAACACGGTGATAATGATGGTGGCCATGATTGTTAAACAAATAATTGGTATGCATGTCTCATGGGGACTATTGGTACCTTGGGATTTTTAAAATTAAATTATTTTCTGGTCTCTGTGTTTCTTAGGGTTCATCTCAAAACGTACATCATAAAACCCAATACGACACATTATTTCTCGTTTATTCCAATTATTCTGGTGTTACTGTTTATATTTATTTAGTATGAACCGAAAGCTATTTTATGTAATGTTTATAATATAGATTAATAAATTAATAATAAATGAAGTGATGGAACTCTCACCAGTTACATTATACATATTTTTCAGAAGTAAACAAACATCTCTAAACGACAAGAGTTTGTGACAAATGCTTTCATTCACTTTGAATTCCCTTCATTCATTTCGGGTCCAAACCAACCAACCAATCTCCCTCAATAAAACACAATCATAATTGTAACTTTACTTACTTTAACTTTTATCATTTTAATCCATATGTTTTTAAATTAATAAAATTTTGTTTTTTGTTATAAGTACTTAATAATAGTAATTAATAGTAATACTTTTTTTGCTAAACAAATAATATTTAAAAAAAACTCTAATAATGAAAGCATAGTGAAAAATAAAAAAAGTATTTATGAAAATGAATTATGTGGTTGAGTAGGGTGTATTTTAGTTATGCTTCTTCCGCTCTTACCAAATCTTTGCTACTGCAGCTTTTTCACTTCTTCTTCTCTCACTCTCTCTCTCTCTGCTACTAAACCCTAAAAAAGTCCATTGCCACAATTCAACCCTGCCCCCACCTATACTCCTCCTCTGTCCAAACGTTTTCCTGTCGCCTCGGGATTCCCAACTTCTTCTTTTGTCCGCTAATTCAGCCACTTACGCCCCCACGATTCGTCTTTTCTTCTCCCCTGTAAGTTTCTCCCGCCCTTCGTTCTTTCTTCTTTCTCTCTGTTTTCAACTGCTTCCATGGCCTTCCAGGAACTCCTGCTAATTTCCGCTGAACGTTGATTTTTTTAGTCTCCCTGGAATTTCAGCCTCACGAGTCGTTTTTGGTTCAGAAAATTATATTTGTAAAAGGTTTTGACTTTGTTTCACGGTACTGATCGTTGAATTTGTCTCAATGATTTTGGAAGTGATAACAGTGAAAGGGCATAGGTGAAGTTTTTTATTTTAAGGAGGGGGGCGGGGATTATAGCAATTACCAAGTTTTGTTTAATTTGAATAATTTATAAATATCGTGTTAAACTAAATAATTGAGTAAATTCACGACCGCCGTGATTTTTTAAAGATTGCGCACTATTTCCTGTTTTTATTTTCCAAGTTTACAACAACCTCCCTTATAGGTTGCCGCAATGTTTTTCAATAAAGGGGGAGTGTAATGTATAAAGAGGTGTCACTGTAATTTTTACTTTAAAGAATTATTGTCCAGGTCTTTTTACTAACTTTTTTTATAGCTGTGTTTGGTAAGTTTACTAATTGTCATGTATGTGTTTCCTACCTTGGTAGGTGGTGTTAGATTTGATGGTTTGCCTTGAGCTTGTGTTTCGAATGGCCCCAAATCGTTGATTCTTGTTTATAAAGGAGTAAAAGTAGCAATGGAGAGCGTTGCTGTCATGAAGGGTGGTGAAACGATTTATGATAATGGTAAAGAGGATGAGAGTGTGGGCAGTCACATTGATATAGTTGAGGAAATGGAGTCCATTCTGGTTGATGTCGATGAGCAGATGATAGTATCTAGGATGGTGAGTGACTCTATCATTAAGGGCATGGTTAATGCTATTGAGGAACAGGCAGCTGAGCGAATCACTGAAAAAGAATTGGAGGTGATTCGGCTAAAGAAAATGCTAGATGGGCTTCATGTGTGTTCAGACGAAACTAAGACATTGTGGTCTTTATTGCATCATCATGAACCCCACGAAGCTGCTGCACATCAGTTTCCAGATAGTGTTGTAGAGGCTGATAGATGTATAATGTCTATAGATAGTCTTCAAATTGCAGTACATGAGGAGTTGAGTCAGCTCAGGAAAGAAATAAATAAAATTAAGGGGACTAGTTCCATCGGAAGAATTAATTCAGGTTCTGATTTGGTGGGTTTAGGTGGTATTCTGCAGGAGAATAAGCCAGAAAAATGGATTTACGTAGATAAAGCAATTGAAAGTCTAAAAGATACTGTAGACTGTGTCTGCAGAAGAATGAAACTGATGGATTGGTTATCAAAAGCTTCACTTTCTGAATGGCAGCAGGATCAGAACTTTCAATCAGAAATTGAACGGATGGTGATCAGCAATGGAATCTGGGGTTTGCAACCGGAGTTTGAACAGAAACTGTGCGACCTCTATGACTCTGAAAGTAGAAATTGTTTTGACCAATATAAAGAGATCTCAAGTTTGCGTCAGGAATTGGATTCAATTTTTAAAACACTCTCTGTTTCTGAAACCGGACACCTTCTTTCTCATGGATCCTTGGAGAATACTGAGGAATGGTGTCATAATAAAAGGGTTGATCATTTCCATGTGAAGCTTTCAACAGATCATTTATCACCCTCAACTATGGAAGAAAATGGCAAACAGGAGGAGTCAAAGATTAACAAGCCTGAGAATTTGGATTCATCCTCACTAAAGCACATGTCTAAAGAAGATTTGGTTACTCATATTACTAAAATGAAAAGAAACCATGAATCTCAGGTGCAAGAGAAAACTGAAGAAAATTTTCGCCTTAGGCGGGAACTTTTGAATTTGAAAGAAAGAGGTTCTCCTTTTCCACTTAAGAAGGACAAGGAGTTTGAGCTGTTAAAGAAAAAAATCCCTGTTGTCATCACAAAATTGAATGAAATCCTTGATGGAAATGAGAAAGTACATCAATTCAGTGAAAACATTGAATCTCTTAGCAGTTTAAAGGATAGGTTGGATTTCTTAGAATCTGAGAATAATCAACTGAAGGACACTCTATCAGATAAGAAGAAGGAATTTAGAAGTCTATCTTCCCAGCTTTCTGCTGCTAAGGAAAAATTGTCACAGGAACACTTGTTAGAAAAAAAATTGTTACAAACCATTCAGAATCTTGAGGATGATATTGGGGATGCACATTCTCAAGTTTCAGTTATTCAAGATGTATATAAATGTTTCATTGAAGATATTGTTAATGAGTTTAGATGCTGCACCGAAGAATTACATCTGAAGAATAGTTTCATGCAAGAAATATACGAAGTAATATTCCAAGAAGCTTCCCACAGTGCTCAAGCTGCTAGTGGGTTGGGAACCGAGGAAGCAGAAATGGAGTCAATTATGGTGCAAGGGCTATTGGATATCAATCATATTTTATTTAAAGAATCTTTGGTGAATGCAGATGAAGCACTAAAATTGGAAGTTGCTGAAAAGGAGAAACTAAAATGTGAAATGCTTACGTTGAAATCAGTTGTAGAAGAAAAGGAGAAATTAATCGAAGGAGCAGCAGATGCTTTAGCTCAAGAGAAACAAAAAATGCAGCTTGCCTCTGAAGAGCTTAACAGTTTAAGGGCTGAGATTGCTCAACAACATAAATTAATTGAAGAGAACAGCGAAGAATTGGATGTCACTAATAGTAAACTGGTTGCAGCTTTGAAGGAAATTAAACAATACCAGGAGCAAATGCATCAGCTGCATCAAAATCTTGAACAAGGAACAAAAAAACTTAGAGAAATTGATGAAGAAAGAAGTGTACATTTTGCTCTAACACAAAAACAACAAGAAGCACTGAAACTAATTGAGGCAAAAGAAAGGGAAAACAGGAAGCAAATGGAATCTACCATTAACTTCATTCATAAATTGCTGGCAACGATTACTGATTTTGAAGCTAGAGTAAACAAGGATATGTCAAGAAATTGTTTGAGGTATGCTTTAATTGTGTCAAGGTCCTTCTTTTACTTAATATCACATTAATTTATCATAAACTAATGTATCTATGATTGCTTCTCTGCGCATCTAATTGATTAATGGAATAATTTGGGGATTAACTTAGTTATTTTTGTTTTTAAACTTTTTAATTTTTTTTAAAACAAATACTAAGCTACTATTTGTGTCCATTCATGATGAATGATTTCAGATTATTTGCAAGCTGGAGGTATACTTTATAAACGAGAAAAAAATTTCCATTTGAACAACAAATATATTTGTCAAAAGTTTATATTTGATTGCAACTTGGTTTTGTTAACTGTTAACAGCTCAAATTATTGGAAGAAACGAATATGTTTCAATTTCATATTTTTATCCTTATATTTAACAAGCAGTTTTATATATTAATTTTATTATTATTTAAAATTCAATTTCAATCCTTGTGGTGAATATGGCCAAAACCAAGTCATTTATATGTAAATAATCTTTTCAGGCTGGAAAACATAAGATCTGAGTTCCGTTGGATCAATAACAAAGCCAATGTACTTAAAACCATGGGTTTTGTGTACAAGGAACGGCTAGAAGCAAGATCTTCTGATCTCGCAAAAGCTGAAGCAGAGGTATGTAATCTGATTGTTTGTTATCTTTTTTCACTTTTGTCATGCTATTGGAAACATTGCATTAGGTATATATGTTTGAGTCTTACTTTATTCCATAACTGTGTAACCTATCATTGCTCCAATGCAAGCTGATACACTTCCTAGAATATCATTTTCGATGGTACTGGTGGACCCTACACGGTATTGGTTTAGGTGGAATCGCCTTGACCTCTTGGGATGAGAATGTGAATCACATCTCAGCTAAGCACAAGTAGCTGTTAGAGAGGTCAAGCAACCACTGTACTCTCATGGGCAAAAAAAGAAGTCCCGTGGGTGGTTCAAATGAGTTTCACTTGTGGCTTGTGATGATACGTAGTAGTATCACAATAAGAGAGAGGGAACATGTGGGAAACAAACTAGATTCCAAATCAAGGCCTGTGTATGAGTGTATCAGCCTATAAGATTTATGTTGTAAAATTTTGATGGACCAAGATACAGCTAATTCCCAACTTGAAAAGATATCTAATGATAGAACATTATTTTCTGAACTACTTGGATATATGAGGTGTCTAAGTTTCACATTGATTAGAATGGGATATTTAAAAGTCTTGGTTCTCTCCCCTTAAAACTAGTTTTTAAGGAAAGGTCACCAAGTACTCTGGTGCTTAATTGGTGTCATAGTTTGTTGTTTGTGGCTCGGAGCAGGCTACACATAACGGGGCTGACCAGAAAGGCTATGCTAGAGTGTTAGCCACCAAGATGCTGTTTCTTAGAGCGGTGCAATGGTAGGATTTAGGTATTATGGGTGTCTAAGTCCCACATGGAATAGTATACTTTGTGGAGTATTTAAGTGGGTTGGTTCTCTTAGCTAGCTTTTAAGGAAGGGTTTCCAAAGTGTTTGGGGTGCTTATCATTTTCATTGTAACTTTCTATTTTAATGCACAAGTCTTGTAATTGGCCCACCCACCTATATTTGATGTAAAATACTTGCATTGAATATTTACTTGTTGTTTCAGGTTGATCTTTTGGGGGATGAGGTAGATACTCTTCTTAGGCTTCTTGAAAAAATATACATTGCACTTGATCATTATTCACCCATACTGCAGCATTACCCTGGGGTAAGGATCTTTTGCTTTCTGCACATCTTTTTAATGTTTGTACTTTTTCATGATTGAAGTGCGTATATAATGCCAATATATGTGATATTACTTTAAATAGTCTATTTATCTTCCTGGTCATTTCTCCTTATCAATATAAAACAATTTTTTAAGAGTCTTAAAAGGAACTTTCCGTTCTGTGTTGAGTTCAGACAATAAATACTTTACATAACTGTTGAAGGAAAATTCCTTAAGTTTGTATTTAGGTTGTAGATTAGAATATATAGCAAATTTCAGAGTTTAGTATGATATTTTTATGTCATATTTATCATTGTTGATGCTCTACATTTGTTAGAAAAATGGATAAGAATAGTCCTTACATGACTTGGCCAATCTCTTAAACTAGCTTTTGTTATTAAGTTAGGCATGTCCTAAAATGTTCAGCCCTAAACATGAAGGGTTGGTTTATGATGTGTCCTTCATTGGTCATACGACAATGTAAAAAAGTCAAATGAGTTCATGTTCTAATCTATTAATCTTAGCCATTCATGTACAATCTAATGGTCAAGATTCCCCCTTTATTCACATTAAACTATTCCTCACTCTTGATATTAATTATGAATATCTGAATTAAATTAAATTTTTCTAGTTTATTTAACAGAGAAAATGTTTGACTTTTGCTAATAAATAACCTTTTATTTATGAGAAAAATTTAAGTGTGTATAAATTTAATATGGGTATTGGACATGATTTTTATGAAAAATGAGGGATATAGAAGGAAAACTAAATCTCATTGTCAAAAGTATGAATCCCAATCCAATCTCTCTAAGAAGAAATGGGATTTCATGCCCCATTCTTTTAAGTTAGGGAAGAAATGAAGAGGGTTGAGACTAGGGCTCTTTATCATGCATGGCTCTGGCACGTAGCACAGTGGACATGACTAGTGTAACCAACTTCCAGAATGGCAACCATGATTTTGGAAGGAAATTCTATTGTGGTTTGTGATCATATACAAGGGAAGGGGAGTAGAGAGAGGAAGACATGGAAGGAGTGGTAAAGATTAGTGGGAGAGTACAAAGCCTCTCAATTGCCCTGGTTTTTTGTTGAGGTCATTTGTGTATTTTCCAAAGAAAATCCATTTCTTGGTCTACAAGCTTCCTTTTTAGCATTAGTAAAGTGGAATTTGTACAGCTAGCATACTAACGCAACCCCTTCAGTCAGCTAAGAATTGTGTATTATCAGATAGCTATTGATGAAGCTCCAAGGAAGTTTTTACTGGTTTTAGGTCCAATTAGATTTGTGTACCTTCAAAGAAACATAGGGGCATGTAATTTTCTTAACAATTTGTGCCTTTCCTATCCAAAAATAATTAAGCTTTCTTTGTCAAGAAGGTTGAGATGATTTTACATTCATACGAATAGAATAGTGTGCAGTGTGCATAATTTGGTCGGCATAAGTCCCAACGTATAACTTTTCAATATTTATCCATTCATCTGCAGATTATTGAGATTCTGGAGCTTGTAAGAAGAGAACTGACTGGAGATTCTAGAAAACTTGTTTAATCGTACGTTCTAGCCAGGTAAATTGACATACCCTGTTGACACAAAGTCTATCTTTCCACGCTCTGGATTGGTAAAAACCCAGAAGCAGTGATATACAAATCATTGTCCCAAGCCCCCACAAGGTCATTGATCAACCACACCGGATGTGGAGATTGCAAGTAACTTTTCAGGGAGCCCCCATTATGGTGTTAATTGGTTACTTTCTCTCCTTCTTTCCATTAGCTTCATCTATACAGAGATCCGAGATGCTAGAGTTTTGGTAGTTGGATTACTGTTTCATTCTTTTGGGTTCACTTCTCATGTCTATAACTGCAGAGCAGTGGCAATGCTATTGCATAAATTATTCTAGTCCATGCTGTCTTCTGTTGAATTACTACATTGAGGGGCTATGTGCAAATCTTCCAATGGATACAGGTAACAAGTTGTACAGTTGTTCACATAATAGATCAGCTGGATGATGTGTAGCTGCTGGTATTTGTTCTCCTTAAACACGTTTTGAGGAAAACAGCAACAGAGAATAACCAACAACTTGTGCAGTTTCTAATACCGATTTTTCCATACTCGAATTTTATATCATGCTAGGAGACTTGCCTTGTTTGGTTGACTCTAGTATATCACAAATTTGCCTCCTTTTGTAATTCTTAGTTTGTCTTCCATATGAGCTAATTTATTAGCTCTTGTACATTTTATTTTAATGAGTTTTTAGGTGGCTTATTGATACATTTGCATTATATCCACATTTATCCATGGATATTTGAAAAAAAAAATATTCATTTTGATGGACTAAATAATAAGACAATTTTAAAATTTAAATTTAATCACAAATTAGTTTTTATAACGTAATATATATATAGGTCAAAAAAACAAGGTGAGATATATTAAGTAAAACAAAATTATAACTTCTTAATTGATAATTTTCTCTTTGCTTATGTGAAATTTTATCCTCGTTTAATTTTAAAGAGAAAATAAATATATTAAAAAAAATTATTAACAAGAAACTCAATTAAAAAGATTAAGTTATTTATTACAATATAAGGATATTTATATAATTTTACGGGGTTGTGGTTGAAACTGCCAATTCTGTCCGTGAACACTATATATAAATTTGTGATTTTGCCAATCATTTCTATTATTCAATGACGTAAATGGGAATTGAAGCCAAACCTGATGTACCTTTTATTAAAACTTTGGCACTGCAAATCAAATAAATAATTGTGTCTTTGAAAAAAAGTCAAAAAGTGAGCCACAAGTTTTATTGTTGATTGAGATGCATCTTTCAACATCGATCCATAAACCAATCCAACCTTGTTTTCAAACTGTTGCCTTTATACCATATTCTTCAACTTTCTTTCTTCTCAAAATTAAATTGTATACGCCCTCCTATCTTTTCATCCCACTATTACAGGAATTAAATTTACCATTCAATTATTTGCTACTCGTTTTTTATTATTTTAGTTTCGCTAATATCATCTTTTATTTTATTGTTTACTCCTTCAAATTTATTCTCTCAATTCAAACACAAGTTAAGCATTTTCTCACTCTCAGACGTTGGATACGTATATATTATATTATAGTTAATAATAGTTATAAACTTCATCGTTATGGACCCACAAATATGTGATTTTTTTAAAATGTCTGTAACTAAGGGACGTTAACAGATGACAAAGTGTCACAATTCATTTTTAAAGATAACGTATTGAAAGTTTTTAGTAATAGTCCAAAAATCTCATCCTAATTTTATATATATATATATAACATTTTGACATTATTGATAATAAAGTCTCGCTTTTTTTATTTATTCTTATTATATAATTCATATGCTTATTAATCTTATATATTGTATAAGGCGAGAGATTAATATTATTTTATAAACACTCTTTTTCCTTAATCATTAAATTAAAAAAAATTATGACACACTAATTTTAAAAATTAATATTATCTCAAATATAATAATTGATTATAATAATAATAATAATATTATTATTATTATTATTATTATTATTACAATGAATATCTAAATATTTCATAAACAAATAACACCTCATTATTTAATTATAAATATCAAAATATTATATATATATTTAGAAAATATTATTTATTATTTTTATCAGAAATTTTAAATATTAGGTTATTTATACACAGAACATGTTTAAAATATTAAAAATTTATATAATTATGTCTAATTTATTACAATTTCATAATTATTTTTGCATTTATTTATATAAAAAACTTATATTTTAATAAATTTATCTTTAAATGAATGAAAAAAGATATAACATATAGATGCAAAAATAAATAAATATATATATATATATATATATATATATATATAAGATAGATTTAAGAATGTTATATTAAAATGATTCTTAAATTGATAACTTTATTTTTTTTTAATAATATTATGTTTGTAAAAATATTATTATTATTTAGAATGGATATATTAAAAATAAATAAAAAAAGTTTTGAAAGAGTTTTTTTTTTTTTTTACTTTTCTAGAATATACTTAGAATCAATCCTTACATTTAGATTATCGTCTAGTGGAGTTGTGTGACTAGGTAACGATTTTATTTATATATATAAAAAAAAGAGCATCACTATACTAATGAAAAATAATTATTTGATTTTAACTTATAGACATTTAAATTTGTGGGAACAATATTTAAGGTTAACATTATGATATTTTAACTAAAAATGTTCATAATAATTTCCTTTTTGTAATGTTTATATAATCCCATGTAAGAAATGTTAAAAATATATAACAAAGAAATATTAACTACACCCACTCTTATTTTTTAAAACCGTTAATTATTTAGAACAAAACAGAGTAAAATATTAATAGTTAGGAAAGAAGATAATATAATACCTTTAGTTGTTTTATATTATAAACTAATGAGATACGTTTTCTAGTTCCTATTATATTGTTTTGTGTAGAATATTGTAATACTAATGCTTCATTGTATAAGATTAGTTGATGAGTAAAATTATCTCATTATTATGTTTTTGTTTTGTGTTTGGATGGAATAATGAATTTGAGAGTGTGAAAAGGAAAATAAAAAATGAAATTGTTTAGATAAAATAAAAAAAAATATTAAATGAAAAGAGATGAATAGAAAGAGAGTAGAAAATTAGTATGATTGATTAAAAATATTAAATGATAAGATAAAGTGACGAATGATTAAAATATTTTTTATATAATTTTAGTAAAAAAAATTAAAATTAAGATAGGTATAATTTAATATGAAATAATTATTTAATAAAATAAATAAAAATAAAGTTAATTTATATATAAATTATAAATAAATATGCATATAAATTTTTTTATTCATATATTATTATCTTTTTAAATAAATAAATAAATATTTAAATATTTTTTAAATATTTTATATATATTATTATATATACCTAATATTTTATTAAAAATGATTTTAAAATATTCCAATTAAACAATTTAATTACAAATTTAATATTTATTCAAAATTATATAAATTATATGTTTTCGACAATATATATATATTAAAATTAAATAATTTTAAAAAATTATATTGATTAACATGTTCTGTAGTTAGATAATAAATTAAGAGAAATTTTCATTATATTTTTATGTTTTTTTTATAATAAATTAAAAGTATAGTCTAATTAAAAAATATCATTAATCAATCACGTTATTGATAAAAGATGTTTTTTTTAAATAATAAATTGATTAATGATTTACATGGTGTATAAATTTTATTTATATTTATTAAATTGTGTATAATAAGTTTAATTTTTGAAAGAAATGAAAATTTATATACTATATGTTTAGAATTATTTTAAAGATAAATTAACTTTAACTTAAAAATTTAATTTACATCAAAATAAATTTAATATAAATATTCTTAGCTTTATGATACATGTAAGAAAAAAATAATATAAAAATTAAACCTTATGTAATCTTACATAATCCATTGGGTAAATTTGCATAGATCAATATCATTAAAGGTGATCTTTTTTGTCTCTTTTCTTCTGCAAATCAACTTAAAACAACGTAACTAAACACTGACACAAATCAACGAGATTATTTCTACATCAATAGTGAATCTATTGATTAAAACACAGGCTTAATAAAGCTTTGTATTCATATATTTGGTTTGAAATATTATTTAGAGAAATTAATTATAGTGTGAGATATTGGTAAGTGTGAAATAATTTAAGTGAAGGGTAATATAAAATATGTAGCGTATGGTGGTGGATGAAGGACCCAAAGGGTACTGTGAGTACGGAATATTAACATAAGACACTGTATTCGCTGCACTGCACTGTTTTACATAACATTATCATTACATTACATAATAATAATAATAATAATAATAATTATTATTATTATATTATTATTATTATTTAATTTATAAATTGAAAGGTGAGTTATGGGCATGGCAATGGCAAGAGAAGGACAAGGGCATGTGACCCACCTCACTCAACCACCCTTCCCATCCATCACTGTCTCCTCTCTTCATCATTTTTTTCAATCAAGTTCTAATCTTTTTCTTCATATTTCTAGATATTTTCTTTAAATATCTTACCTTTAAAAAAAAACAACTAATTAATGTTTTTTCCCCAAATGCACTCTTCTTTATTATTTTAGTACTAATAGTGCATGAATTAAGGATTAGGGTATTGAATATGGACATTTTAGTTTGAGTTTATATTTTATGTGCATTAATATGAATTACAAAAACGTGAGTTTGAAATTCTACAACTATGAATAATATTTAGATCTGTTTAAACGCGTTTTGAGACCTGTCTTGAATATGACTCATTTATATAACTTGAAATTTTATGTTTAAAATCTTAAAAATCATAAAGAAATTCATTAACTCATACAGTATGTGAGGATAGTAAATATTTGAAAATAAAGTAATGTAGATTGGTTCGTTAATGAAAAGTTTATCCAAAACTTTTTTAGACGTCAAATCAAGTGAAAGGAAAGAATGCTACTTTTACCAATTATGACACATCAGTTAGAAGATGAGAAAAAAAAGATAAAGTACCAATTAAATAGTGTCCGATTCTTGGCTTATTGTAAAAGATACAAAACCAAGCACAGATGAATTGCAACTTTTCCAATCTGTTTCCAACCACACCCATGTTCTGATTTCCTTGTTTGTTTAATCAAGAAAGAGCCCATTTTGGGTGACATCTCTGATTTTATACTAGTTTTCTCTGGATTCCTTATCACAACTTAGCTAAGTTGTTGTCTTTTTTTTGACATTCATAGTGCATTGCCACTCCTTGCTTTCTTCCCTGGCCCTTTCAAGTTCAGATCTGTGAATTGCTGTTTCTGTTTGTTGGAGGATTGTTTGTGTTCAGCAGAAGCTGGAGGTGGGTTTTCCTTTTCAACTCTTTGTATTCTAGTGTCTCCCATGGTGGGGAAAATCGACATTCATATGCCCCAGAAGATTGTTTTGCCTAGTTTTTCATAAAGGCTTCAACTTTTCTTCTTCCTTGTTCAAGATCTTGGGAAACACGAGATTGTTTCTGTGATTGGGCTGTGTTGGCATTTTGGGTCTATATTGTTTTTTTGTGTCTGGTTTGTTTTGTTAGCTTTCCCTTTCCAAAATTTGCTTCTTTTGTTAAAAATAATTCGAAGGTCTTGTTGGGGGAATTGTTCTAATGGGGAGTGTCCTTGGGGAGGGACTCTATTTTGTGCTGATTCTGGTAGTAGTGTCTGTGACAGTGAGCCCTGTGGATGCTCAACCAAAGTCTATTCTCTTAAATTGCGGTTCAAGTTCTTCCGTCAATGTGGATGGTAGAAAATGGGTGGGGGACTTGGCCACTGATAACAATGTCACCCTAAGCACCCCCAGTGTTGTTGCTAACACTTCTACATTAAGTGGCAGTTCAATCTATGACCCTCTCTATAAAACAGCCAGAATTTTCACTGTTCCTTTGAATTACACAATAAAAAATGTTCAGGGAAATTACTTCGTTAGGTTCCATTTCTGCCCCTTTGTGATTGACGGCTTCAATGTAAATGAGTCCTTATTTGGTGTTGTGGTCAATGGTGTTAAACTGTTATCAGAGTTTGATGTTCCTCGTAAGATATCCCACAAGAATATTAACTTGCTGAATTCTGGAAGAAATGCTAGTTCATTCTTCTTGGTCAAAGAATATATTCAGGCTGTGAATGGGGATATGCTTGTGATTGAGTTTCTCCCAACCAGAAGCTCCTTTGGCTTCATCAATGCCATTGAGATTGTCCCAGTTGTGGGTGAAGTTTTTGCTGGCTCAATTAGTAGCGTTGGTGGAGGAAGTGCTGGAAACTTGAATTTGCCCGGACATGGGATGGAGACTATGTATAGGTTGAATGTTGGTGGTCCTGAGATTCAGTCCAATCAGGATCGTGATCTCTGGAGAACTTGGGAAGTGGATTCTGGATATATGATCATAGAAAATGCTGGGTCTGGAATTAACAACAGTTCTAACATTACCTATTCTTCCATGAATGACACTTCGGTGGCTCCTCTCCTTGTGTACGAAACTGCCAGGACAATGTCCAACTCTGAAGTCTTGGACAAAAGGTTCAACATGTCGTGGAAATTTGTTGTAGATCCTGACTTTGATTACTTGATCCGTTTGCATTTCTGTGAGCTGGTTTATAACAGGGCAAATGAGAGAATATTTAGGATCTACATAAATAATAGGACAGCTGCGGACAATGTTGATGTGTTTGTGCGTGCAGGAGGGATGAATAAAGCATATCACCTGGACTATTTTGATCCTGTGTCATCAAAGATTGACACGGTTTGGGTTCAACTCGGTCCTGACACAGCTGCTGGTGCTGCAGGAACTGATGCTCTCTTGAATGGTCTGGAGGTCTTCAAGCTTAATCGAAATGGAAATCTTGCCTATGTTGAGAGGTTTGACATAGGTGGTAATTCAGGAAGCAAATCAAAAGCGAGAGCTGTTTGGGTGGGAGTTGGAGTAGGTGTAGCAATTATAGTTGCAATTATAGTTGTTCTAGTATTCTGTTTCTGTAAAAGCAGGAGGAAGGAATCAGGTGATACCAAAAACAACCCTCAGGGTTGGAGACCATTGTTCCTCTATGGAGGGGCTCCTGTTAACAACTCTTCGGGTGGGAAGGGATCAGCAGGAACTCAAAAGCCATACGGATCTGTGGCCTCAATCAGAGTTGGCAAGAGGTTTACATTGGCAGAAATCAGTGCTGCAACAAACAACTTTGATGAGAGTTTGGTAATTGGAGTTGGAGGCTTTGGTAAGGTGTACAAGGGGGAGATTGAAGACGGTGTTCTGGCTGCAATTAAGCGCGCCAACCCCCAGTCTGAGCAAGGCCTGGCTGAATTTGAGACTGAAATTGAGATGCTGTCCAAACTTAGACACAGACATCTGGTGTCCTTAATTGGTTTCTGCGAAGAGAAGAATGAAATGATCTTGGTTTATGAGTACATGGCCAATGGAACTCTCAGAAGCCACCTATTTGGGAGTGGTCTCCCTCCCTTACCCTGGAAGCAGCGCTTAGAAGTGTGCATTGGTGCTGCAAGGGGACTGCACTACCTTCACACAGGTGCCGACCGTGGAATCATTCACAGGGACGTCAAGACAACCAATATTCTGCTAGATGAGAACTTTGTAGCCAAAATGTCTGATTTTGGATTGTCAAAAGATGGTCCAGCTTTTGAACACACCCATGTTAGCACAGCTGTGAAAGGAAGTTTTGGCTATCTTGACCCTGAGTACTTCAGAAGGCAGCAATTGACTGAGAAATCAGATGTATACTCCTTTGGAGTTGTGTTGTTTGAAGTTGTTTGTGCTAGAGCTGTGATAAACCCCACCTTGCCAAAAGATCAGATCAATCTTGCAGAATGGGCAATGAGATGGCAAAGGCAAAGATCACTTGAAACCATCATTGACCCTCATCTAAGAGGCAACTATTGTCCTGAATCATTGGCCAAGTTTGGAGAGATAGCAGAAAAATGTCTTGCTGATGATGGAAAGAGCCGTCCCACCATGGGGGAAGTGTTGTGGCATTTGGAGTATGTCTTGCAACTACATGAAGCTTGGCTCAACATGGATACCACAGAAACTTCCTTCTCTAGTTGTAGTCATGCTTTGGGAGGTTCAAAAGATGGAGGACTAGAAATGGTACATGAGTCTTCGAGTCAAGATGAAGTTGGTTTTGATAAAAACACACAGCTGAATCTGATTGAGGCCACGCAAGAGAATGAATCAGAGAAGTGAATGCTGCAATTTGAGTTCAGTGATTTCTGAATGCTAGTGAGTAAACAAACATTGGAGAACCATGAATGAATGAATGACCTTATAGCAAATATATGCTTTACATATTCTTTCTATTTGTTTTATTAAATTCAACTATTCAAGTTTACTGTTATTATTTTTCATCTGATTTTTGTATACATGGTAGTGCAATGGGCAAGTTATTATCAACATTTTGCCTAAAACAGGTACCCAAGTTTGTTATATGCTCTCCTTTTGTATTGAGTATGCAATGAAATTGTATTCCTGGGATTTGCTCCTTGAAAGTTTAGCAGAATGTTATCAATTGTCAATGTTGTAAATAACGTCTTTCATTTTGTCTTTGAAATCAAATGCGGAAATTTTAGTCTGCATCACTTTAGTGTGCATGCTTTCAAAGGAAAAAAAAAATTAGTAAGATTCTGGTAACTGAGTTCTCAAATTAAACAATTGCAAGAGAGTTTACTTTCTAACTTATAGTTTTCTAAAGAATATATTGTGATATTAAAAAGAGAAAAAGTTTCGTATGTTACTATATGATTTAAGGGACCTCATGGGATAATTGAAAAATTAAAAATCTTTTCTTGGAAATTTGTAGACGCAGTAATCTCGACTGATAAGTTTTATTATTATTATTATTTTAGACTGTTAATGAATTAAAATTACATTCTAATTTTAATATTTTTAAAGTGAATGTATTATTGAAAATAAGTACAAATATATTAAATGTGATAATAAAATAAAGTTACTAAAGTTATACCAACGAAGGCTAAATGTTTTTTTTTATATAAAGAATTTAATTGACGTACAATAATATATTTTTAATCATTTATTCAAGCCGCAAATTTTTGATAAATTTATTGAATTTTATAATAATGATAATAATAACTTAAAAATCACACGTGATTTTTCTACAAGTTGTAATATACTTTTTTACAGTAATACATAAAAATATTAGTCAAAATATATTTTTCTTAATTTAATCGTTAACATTGTATCATATCAAAAGAATTATCACAAAAGAATGGACTGATAGAAGTAATAATCTCCTCGCATTTGTAAGTATTCATGGATATTTATTAAAATAAAAACATAAAATAGATTAAAAATACTTTTGGAAAACATTAATTAAAAAATAATTTTGTTATATATATATATATATATATATATTAAATGATTAAAATTTTTTATGTTACATTTAAGTAAAAATTTAAGCAATTTTAATCCTACGAAATTTATCGATATTAATAATAAACATAAAATTGGGAGAATAGTGACTCGCTTTCCCTAGTACAAAACCCTACAAGCCACGAACCTGAGATTCTACAACGCACTTGTTCTTCATTTCATCATCGGAATCGAACAAAAGCCCTTCACCGACTAAAAATGCCTCCCAAATCTGCCAAATCCAAGGAGGCTCCAGCCGAGCGACCCATCCTCGGTCGATTTTCGTCTCACCTCAAAATTGGCATTGTATGCTTCTTATTTCTCTCTCCAAATCCACTAATTTTCGATTTTGACACTATTCTCAGCTGCCCTTTTCCAATTGCTAAAATAGGTCCTTCCCCATTCAGCATCGAATTCACGCTTCATTGATTTTGTTTCCATCTTACTGATTTTTGTATGATAGTGTTAGATAATGGTTGTTATGCATTGGAGCTGAACTGGTGAACTGTGATCGTTGAGTTGATGTCTCTTTGTTTTTAAATGCTTGATTGAGTTAGTGAAATGAGAACTTTGTATGATTATTTTTCTACATTTTTTATGCTAGTTATTGTTCCTTTCTTGTTCAGGTTGGTTTGCCAAATGTTGGAAAATCTACTCTTTTTAATACTCTCACCAAGTTGGCAATACCTGCTGAGAACTTCCCCTTTTGCACCATTGAGCCTAATGAGGCGCGGGTCAATATACCCGACGAACGGTTTGAGTGGCTTTGCCAGTTATACAAGCCAAAAAGTGAGGTATGTGATGGAACTCTTATAATTATTGCTGAATCTGTGGTGACTTGTTAATTGAATTTCACTTTTGTAAATAATCTGTGAGCTTACGCCCGAGCTTTATCCAACCTACAAGTCTATCTGTTGCTACTGACATATTCTGTTAGTTGTTTGTTATTGATTGATTAATCTATTTTCCTTTGTTTTGACGTGTTTGTTGAACTTGAAACTCAGGTCTCAGCTTTCTTAGAAATCCATGACATAGCTGGATTGGTCCGAGGTGCTCATCAGGGGCAAGGACTGGGGAATAGTTTTTTATCTCACATTCGTGCTGTAGATGGAATTTTCCATGTTCTACGTGAGATGATGCCTAATTTTCTCTGAGTACCTCTTTTGTTAGTGCCGCATTATGAGATTATGACATTTTGATGTCAATATGGGAGTTAATCTAGAGTCTTGCTTTGTTAGGTGCATTTGAGGATCCCGACATTATTCATGTAGATGATACCGTTGACCCAGTTAGGGATTTGGAGATCATTACTGAAGAATTGAGGCTGAAGGTATGTATCATTAGCAACTCTCTTAACCGTCATAAACTGACTTTTGGTCCAACAATTATTTTATTGTAGTTTGGTGAAACATTAATTTTATTGACAATTTGCAAAGTATATGCCTTTTAAGGGGCTTTTCTATTCAGATATGTGGAGCAATAGGGTAGATTTGCTCCGTTTCTTCTTTATATGATCTTTTTCTTTACCATCAAGGAGGATCCTTCATCCTCCATATAGTTGTAATTTCTCCTTTTCATCATAATGAATTTACTCTTTTATGTAAATATGAAGTTTATACCTCTCTGCTAGGTCTGTTTGTATACCTGTTATATAACTGCTAAGCTTTCCTCCCTTTGCATAACATTCTAGGATGTTGAATTCATGGAAAGAAAGGTTGAAGATATTGAGAAAAGCATGAAGAGGAGCAATGACAAGCAGTTAAAAATTGAGCTAGAATGTTGTCAAAGGGTTTGATTCTATCTTCTGAGCATTTATATGATTTATTTTATTCCCCCAACAATAAAATGGTCATCTTTTGTATTATATATCTTACATCGTATATGGTTTTCAGTTTGGTGCACACCTTCTGTTTTTATTATAATAACATGGCAGAATGTTCTTACTTGTATCTCATATATATATATATTTAAGGTGGTATGTGTAATGAATTCTGTGACATGGTTCTCTTTGGGGTTCCATGATATATTACTGCATCAGAACACAGTAGAAACTTATATCAGACATAAGGGTTATACTATGGACTTGTTTTGGTATTTATTTTTGCTGCCAATTTGTTGCATTTGCAGTGTAAAATGTTACTTGTTTATGATCAAGAGAAAATGTATTTCACTTTTGTGGTTATTGTTGATTGAAAGATTTTCATCAAACGTTTTCATGGAACTACTCAAAACATGGGGCATCATATCATTTGTCTGAAGATTTTCTTGATTTCTATTTGGAGTTATTGTACTTTCTGCTTATTTCACATTTTATTTGTTGTTCATCATTGGAATTGAACTTTTCTTATGTGCGTTTCTCATGGTACTGTATGCATGAGAATGTAAAAAGTCAAATGACTCAAATTAAAGTTGGTGGGCAATATCTTAGCTCATGTCAAAGCACAATTTTTTTACTGGAGTTGGTTTATCGTATGACTTTGAAAAATGTCATGCACTATTGATGCTCTCTCTTCATTGTCACTGTCACATTTTTTACTGTTATATGTTCTATTATATACATGCAAAAAAATGCGTGGATACATATTGGTTGAAAATTATGGTGGCAATTTCGTGTCTTCAGGTGAAGGCATTGCTTGAGGAAGGAAAAGATGTACGTCTAGGTGATTGGAAGGCTGCTGATATTGAGATTTTGAATTCCTTTCAGTTACTTACAGCCAAGCCTGTTATATACTTGGTAACATTATCTCTCAGTAGAAAATTTGTTCGTCTTTGTAATGCAAAAGTTGTTATTGTTTATCATGTATGAGTTAACAATGCCTGTTGGATACTATTTCAGATACAATACCTCGTCTAATGCTAACTTTACTAGTATATTTTTGCTTTGAGGTTCACATGTGAATGGAATATTGGTCTTTGTTTTTTTTTTTTTAAACCTGGGCATCATTTCTCTACATTGCCTGTGTTTCTTTACTTATATCCAGCACCATTATATATAAAACCATCAGTACCCATGTGATGTGACCAACAAAAAGTATTTAATCAAGAAATCTTTACGTTGGTAAATCATTTGTGTTTCTTATGAGAATAGATAAGCTGTAATATGTATTCTTTTGATACTATACTTTATTACAAATTATTTTCTAGGAATTAAAAATATTTATTAATGCTGTATAATTTTGAGATATGTTTAATATATGTCAGAGATGTCTCCATTTGTTCATGTTTTTGGATACAATTTGACTCTTTTGTACTTGGATAGACTATTGATGATGTAATTGCTTATTGTGACTTTTACTCAAAATTATAGTTTGGTTAAAATTAAAAAAAATGAATGTAAGTGTTGATTATTATATATCCAAATTTTCAAAATATGCATGTTGGAAAATCATGCAATCAAGTCCCCTATAACTCATGTGGGTTATGAACCTATCATTCAAAATTCACACATACCTTTTATTTGTGAAGGCTACCTTTCACGCATGCTTGCATGCATACATGTATACATATTCAAGTTATATTGCACAGTTGGTCTCAGGTATCACAATTGTGTGATTTTGGTCTCTCAAGTTTTGATTGTGTTAATTGGGTCGGGTCCTCTATTGCAATGTCAGATTTTGGTCCCCCAAATTTCAAATGTACCAATTAAGTCCTTTAAATATTGCAATTTTGCGATTTTAGTCTCTTTATTAGTTGAAATTTGCTAATTAATTGATGCCTAATCACTGTTTCTTTTCTGTTAATTTTAGTCTCTTTATTGGTTGAAATTTGCTAATTTGATGTTAATTGATGCCTAATCACTGTTTCCATTTTGTTTCATACCTTAGATTACAACATTTCTGTGTTTGTGCTTTTGTAAAGTATTTCCCTAGCAAGTGAGGAGTTGTTGCATCATACACATATCGTTCTTTAGTGTTGTGTACTTGGGTGTATTTGTATAAAATTTATGTACTTAAATTTCATTCGCAGGTTAATATGACTGAAAAAGATTACCAAAGAAAAAAGAATAAGTTTCTGCCCAAAATTCATGCATGGTATGTATTTTTTATATTTTTTTAAATCACTTTTTGTTCATGAATCATTTAGACTTTGTCTCTCCATGACTACCTCGTATATAAGTATGAAGGATGTCAAAAGTGAGTGCTAAGTATACTACATATTTATGTGCAAAATATTCAACAGATTGTGCATTTTTAGTGGCCTTTCTTCCGAGTTTTGTGCTACTTAACAGGGAACACCTTTAAGTGTCTACTTCCGTTCCTTCACCCACACAGTCTGGCTGCATGACAATGGTTTTCAATTCTTTAGTAGTTAAACTGAAAAGATACTACAGAATGAAGATTAGTGTTATTTCTGTTTGAAATTTGAATACTAATTTCATACTGGTTTTCCGTGAAATCAGTGTGCCTCTCTCTCCACTCAGAAGGAAATCTTAACTAGTTAGCCACATTGTGTTTTCCTTAAGTAATAGTGTTTTCTCTTAATTTATTTCATATTGTGCCTTATTTTTTGTTTGTCCTTATTACTCTCTCAACGTTTGCTATTTTGTAATGTTGTAAAAGAAATTTAATTAGTATTTGACACCTGTGTTCCCCAGGGTCCAGGAGCATGGTGGTGAGCAGATTATTCCTTTCAGCTGCGCCTTTGAGAGGAATCTTTCAGATCTGCCAGCCGATGAAGCAGCTAAGTATTGTGAGGAGAACAAAATTCAAAGGTATGTTCAATATAATTGTTGTATTGCTGTTAAATGTTTGACTGCAAAATTAGGAACACTTGCCTCTTTACTATGATTGCTGTGCAATTTTTATCTCCTGAAATATTTTTTCCATTAATTTAATCCCCAAGTTTTTTAATTGTAATGATAAAGTCTTTGAGAATTCTCCTACCTAAAACCTGTAAATCCTCTTTATTATTCCTTTACTGTGGATAATTTTTTATTTATACTTCTCTTTCATCTTTCATGTATCAATAAATTATTATGTGTTTTATATATAGCTGTTGGTTTGACATCGTTCATATGCTTTCTTGGAGTCTAACAACTATCTTGTGTCTCATCATGGTAGAAAATAAGTTATCCTTAATCCCAGTTAATTCTATCTCAGGCCCATTGTAATTAAATGGCTGATCCAGAACACAAGGCTCCCACCTAGTGGGGTTTGTGAGAGTATATATGTGCAGCCGTACTTTGCAAGTGGAGAAACTGTCTCTTTGAACCTGTGACATGCATGTCACAAGGCAAACAATCCTATTGTTGTACCAAGGGTCGTCCTCCCCAGTCGAACTGTATTATAAAGAAAAATTAAGTTGCTTTTATAGAATATAATTTTTCAAATGTTAGTTCATTCAAATTATCTTTCTCTATTATCAGGTATTAATAGAAATAGAGATAGGTGTGAAAGAAGAGAAAGGGGAGAGAAATAGGTGCAGAAGAGAGAGATGGGGAGAGGGAAAGAAAGAGAGGTCCAAGAGAGTGGGAGACAGGTACAGGAGAGAAAGGCAAAGGGAGGGTGTGTGTGTGCTGCAAGATTTCCAGGGTGAAAGAATTCAGTGAGACTACGAAAGATAGAAATTTTCTAAAACAAAAATTAATTTTAGATGTTATTGGAAATCCCGTGATTTCACAAGTTATTTGGAATTTCCATCCAAACACATCATTAATGTGTAGCATTTTTATTGACTTTAAAATTTAATTCCTCTCTCGAGTTCCATGCAATCAAATGAATTTCTGTACTTGTTCACCATGTATCTATCTTTTTGAAATGAAATCTGCAGTGATCTCATTTAAACAAGATACCTTGTCAGATCACTAAATGACTACAAGAAGAACTTGTATTGATTATTTTGCTAGTTGCTAGTCGTATATCCCTTTTAACTGCTAGTTGTAGTTTAATACTTATTAACGTTGAAGGGTTGGTATGTAATTCTGTTCTATATGCTACGTACTAACATTGTTACATTTATTCTGATTGTTTTGCTAGTTGCTAGTCTTTTAACGTTGAAGAGTTGGTATTTAATTATATGCTACGTACTAACTTTGTCACATCTTTCATTTCAACAGTGCTCTTCCCAAAATAATAAAGACTGGATTTTCAGCTATTAATCTCATTTACTTTTTCACAGCAGGACCTGATGAGGTAATATATCCATACTTACTTTCCTAGTGACAAAGATTGTCTTAATTTTTATAAATTTGCTGTTGGATTTCTGCAACAACCTCATCAAATTGTTAACTTTTTAGTTTCTCAGCTGTTGACTGTTAAGATGATTGTGCCAAGTGTAAATTACCCCAGAGTCCTGACAGTTGTGTGATATTCAAGTGCAGCTGTCATTTTTCAACAAAATATTAACATGCAAAAGGACAATTTATTATTGGAATTGGAGATAAAATTTATAACTCTAATTAATTGGCTTTACCATGATAAGTGATAAATATATAAAAATTTCTATAATTTTGCAATTTTCCTCCAATGTTGTCCTTTGTTTTTCTTAATTTCTTGCAGTGAGTGCATATATTTGGTTTTGGACTCAAATCACTTATCCCTGCTATCCCTCCAATCAAAAGTTATCACCTCAGAAAATAAAATACTAACAATTTGGAGAGAGATTGTTATTTTTTAATTACGTGTAGGAAGAAATTAACTAAAATGCAGAATAGTTGTTATATTAACTGTATCTAGTGTAACTGACCTTAAATTTATTTTTGATCTCCTGATATGTTTCTCCATTGAGTTACCTTGGTGGTACTTATTTTGCTTGAGACTTCTATTTCTATTGGTGTTTGTCTCACAAGATTACATCTTTGTACCTGGGTTGTTTATGAAAACTTTTCTTATGGGCATTTTACTCCGCCATTCCACATAGTTTCCTGTGTCTGGATGTTGTTTCTTTCCGTGTGTAGTGTATGATAACCATCATGTCTACAACAATTCTCTTGAACAATTTTACCAATAGTTTTTCCATGTCTAATATCACAGCATGTGTTGTCTTTCAATGTTAATAATTTTTTTTGATACACGATACTTCTTGCAGGTTAAGTGTTGGCAAATCAGACGCCAAACAAAGGCTCCTCAAGCTGCAGGGACTATCCATACTGATTTTGAAAGGGGATTTATTTGTGCTGAGGTGAGTTGAGTTCATGAATATTGACATTTCTTGATTTAACCTGGTTTATTCTTCCTTTTATATAATTGCAGTTATTGAATTCTCATTATACTTCTATAGCTAAAGATTATACATCCACCATAGCTAAGCATAAGAACTAAGTCTCTTGGAAAAATGATATTCATTAAATGCTCATATTTCCAACATTCGAAAAGGGTTCCATGAATTTTTGTGAGATTCAGAATAGGAGTGACATTTCTTCTTTGTTGTAAACATAGGAATCTTGGATTCAAAGATTGAATATAAAGTAATATTCCATTCCTTCACACCAAGCTGACTCACGTTATACATTTACTAAAGGTTCAGAGTCATAGTAAATCATGCTATTTGAAATATTGGGTGTATTGTGCAACCGACTAAACACTGTCGGTTAGTTATATGATAAGTTGAGAGTTGTTCAAAAAATTATCAATCTGGTTTTAATTTTCTAATTAGGAAGAGTAGCATATAATTCTTCTATTTGAAATTGCGATTGAACTAATTGGCTTGCCTCTATTTTCATGATCTATTTGGCTCAACCATTGTACTTGAAAATTTATTTGTTCTCTTAACTGGTTATGTAATTTAACTTATCATTATTGATCCATCCAATGTTTTTTGTTTTTTGCTAGAGATACTTTTACTCCTACAATGATTTATATATTTTTACGAATATGTTCAATCTTGAAATAACTGATCTGGGTGCTGGACTGCCTCGGGAATGTTGTTTCAGGTTATGAAGTTTGAGGATCTTAAGGAACTCGGTAGCGAGTCAGCTGTAAAGGTATGAACTTATTTTGATGCAATTTTTACTGTATTTTTGTTACTTCCTAAAATGTTATGGACAGTGGCCAGCATCAGATTGATAACTGGATGATGTAACAAGAAGAATGGCCTGTAATTTTTGAAGAATTTACTGGAAAAGTGAGGAAAGATCCTTGCAGACCTGTACAAGTTGAGATGCCATTTCAGGTCAAATAGCTTAGGTTAATTGTGGCTAGAAAAAACTGAGATTGAGGAAATCCGCTCAAGTTCCGTCTCCTTTATTTAGTTAAATCTAGGTTCACCTGCATTTATGTTACTATATTTATTGTGTTAGCATAGTCTAATTAAAGTGAATAATTGGTATTTGGTTCCTTTTTCAACAGAGGAAAGTAATTAATCTAGCAGAACTAGAATTGATACAGCTGTTTAGGATCTTTAACAAAAGAGTTCATATAAGTCCTATGTTAGGTAGACCTGCCACTGAGACAGTCTGTGAACATTGGAGAAGATAGTCTATTAGAGAGGCCTTTTTATTTATTTCTTGACCAAAGATGAACTATATGGAATGAAAACTTGATATGTTGTATTTGACAGAAGAAAAATAATAGAACCTTTCGAGAAGTTATATTTTTCTATTTACATTTGTACAAGAGCAAATACTGTGTAAATGTCTTGTTCTAAATTTTATTATGCTTGTGTTATGTTGTGGGACAAGACTTCCTTCTATCTTTTCTCTCGGTAATTTATTTGAAAGAAATCAAATAGAAAAATGAAAAATGCTAGGGAATGCCATACAGTTGTATGAATCAAGAAATAGTAACTGCCTTTTGCTGGAAGCCATATACTCGTAAGAATCAAGATATGAAACATTTTCATGTGTTTTGTGCTACCATGTGTTACCAAAGATCTATCATCCCTATTGCCCTTCTTCCCTATTGCCCTTCTTCCCTATTACCCTTCTTTATTGCATATGTATATTATATTACTGCCTTCTTTTAGGGACCTAACAATTTCTCTTTCTCCTTTTTAATGCATTGTCTATTAGGCTGCTGGAAAGTATAAACAGGAGGGTAAAACGTATGTGGTCCAAGACGGGGACATTATATTCTTCAAGTTTAACGTTTCTGGTGGAGGGAAGAAGTAAAACCAGAGATTCATCTGATGTTCGATTCTGGTTTGCATGGAGTTTGTGTTATGTGATAGGTGCCTACCATGTTGCTCAAATTGTAGAAGTTTTATAATGTAATTTTTGGACCCACTTTTAACATTATTTACTCTTTTAGGCTTAAGATTTCCGGTGGATTTTGACCTGTCAGCCATTTCCACAATTTATTTATGCTATGCTACTACATCTTATAGCAGTTTTGAATATAGGAGTGTTGATGAGTTTATATTGTTGTATGCATGGTCAATTCTCTTAAATTTAATGTGAACTACGAATATGGCCCAATTTCACTTGTTAGGAAACACATTCCATTTGGTCAAATATGGGGTAATTGACTTTGAATTAAAACAATTTTAGAAAAATTTTCCAACACTTTTTTATTGCTATTTTGTTATAAAATATGTAATATTCCATTATACTATTACCTTTGCATCTAAAATATTAATCACATTACTTTAAAATATATAAATGTATACTAAAATGATGGCATATTTGAAAAAAAAAATGAAGATATATTTTTATATTTTTAAAGATTCAAAAGTAAGTGATGAACAACTATTGTAAAAAATAAGTATTTGATAGTGAAGTTAACTTGTCAGTATTGTTTTGAGTATTCATTCTCAACATTATAACATTATGTAAGAGGTGTACTTCAAAACATGAAAATAATTATCAATAGTTAAATAATCTAAATTTGAATTATTTATTGTAAACTTAAATTATAATTTATATATTCAAAGAAATTTATTTATCGTAATATACTTTATATACTAAAATTTTTATTTCTTATAAATTTTTATTATCTTGTTTAATGTATAAATTAAAAATAGTAATTAAAAAACAAATCATAACAAGGTGGAGTAACTGCTTTGTCCTAAAAAAATTCTCAACAGTAATTTAGTCGTATTTTTTCTTATTCAGTTGAAATAGACGAATTCATAATTCTTGAAATCTTTTGTAAAGTATATTTTCCTAGTTTGATATTCGTTTAGTTTATTCAATACTCTCTTATAACTTTAGGTTGATGTTCATGATAATTAAATCTATATCCCTGATATATTTATTATCTCTCCCATTTCTGTTTCCACCTCCAATTTTATATCCGAATTTAAACTCTATTTTTTTATTTTTTATTTTTTTTATTTTTCTTCTATCAATTTTTTACTTTTTTTAATATTCTACATTAATCTTAATAATAACTAATATTAATTTATTTTTAAATTATTTGCATTAAATTTGATTATATTATATTTTTATAATTTTATTATTATTATTATTATTTATTATATATCAAATTTTATTTTAATAAGATAATTGTATTTTGATGAATTAAAAAAAGTAGATAATTAAATTTTTTATTATTTTGAATTAATTAAATAATAATTAACATATTAAATATTTTCTCATAAATTATATATTTATATTTATAAATATTTTAAAATAATAATTTAAAAAATAATTAACTTATATTTATAATCAAATATTTAAATATAATGTTATAATATATAATAATAATAATATAATAAGCATATAAAGGAAAAATATTAAACATATATTTTACATATATTTTTTAATATAAATAAAATAAAATAAAATAAATATTTAATTATTAATAATAATTAAAAGTAGTAAAATTATAAATATTTATTTTTTATAAAAATATATAAAACCTCTTGTTATGCTTATTTAGGTTTTATATTTTAACACTAATTATTAACTTATATTAGCTTTCTTGAACTTTCTGTCCATTTTTATTTTTTTCCACATACAGCTAATATATTAAATGTTTTTCTCTCACTTTTCTTTTGTTTTATAGCTCTCTTTATACTCTCGTAACATAAAATGGAAATACTTTCTTTATTTATATGGACAAGTTTATCAAGAAGGTGACTCTCACCACTTTTCACAACTTCTAACATGAAATCACTTCATACCCAAAATATAACACACCTCAAACCACCAACTCATGCATAAAATTATGCATAGAGCATGTTTAGCAAGGTTTTTTTTTTTTACAAAATTATTTTAATAGTTGCTTTTATCAAAATTATTTTTTATGCAATTTTATTTTAGTAGTTTTTACCTTACTTTTAGATGCTACTTCAAATTCGATTTTGGGTAATTCTCTCTTTCATTTTTATCCTCGTTATTTTTTTTTTAAAATCCCTTTTTTATTATACTTTTCATTTCAAATCTCTTTTATATATGGGTCACTCTCCTTCGATAATGATGGAATATTTTATATTTGTTGAAAACAATCAAAAGTTATTAAACTACTGAAAAATGAAAAATGATGACCAATAAATTAAATTTATAAGTAAAATTTGAAAAAAAATAATAATTTGATTCAAAACTAAAATTTATTTATTCAAACAAATGTTTTCTTAACTTTTATTTTATTTAATCAATTTCATCGTATTTTTTTATTTTCAACCATTTTATTTATTTCTTTCTCTCAGAATGTGACCAATAAAACAGATTTGGGGTCGAAGTCCATCTTTTGAGTCAAGTCATTTTTGCTGATTCTCTACAGCATTTGCAACAAAGTTTTCTCCCCATATAAAATCAGAACCGTTGATCGTTGTAAAATAATTAATGAAAGGGCTATGATGGTGTAAATTGATGACTGGTGAATAAAATTGGACTTTTTTTCATAAATAATACTATTTTTAAAAATATTTACCAAAATAGCACCTCTGCAACTTTATTTACACAACTAGCACGGTTTACTGTTCACGTAATAAAATAATATTATTTCGCGCAACTGTTTACTGTTCACGTATTAAAATAATATTATTTCGCGTACTTGAACTCTCGCTCAAGCGAAGAAAACCTTCGCTGAGCGAGGAAATCAGTAACGAAGGGTAATCTGGGTAAATTCTCACTCAAGCTGAAGAAACCCTCGCTGAGCGAAAAGTATTATCGATTATTATCCAATTATAGTCGATCACTTTGACATATATGACTTTAGATAGCGGTTATTTGGCCAACCGCTATCTAAACTACTACATTAGAAAGCGGTTAAAGCCTAACCGCTATCTAATATATATTTTTAAAAGCGGTTGTTATCAACCGCTATCTAAGGTGACTCAAGCGAAAAACACATCGTTTGAGCGAGGACACCTGGAAAAATGGGGGATTCTCGGGTTCTGTCTCGCTCAAGCGACATTATGAACGCTTGAGCGACAAGTGATTCTAATATGTGGTGAACCAAGTTATATTATTTGGCTAACTGCGTTTGGCGTTTCATGATTCGGTCATTACTCGCTCAAGCGACAAAGTCACCGCTTGAGCGATGAAGCCTTCAAACAAGGGGGACTCTCGAGTTCTTTTTCGCTCGAGCGAGAAACCATCGCTTGAGCGAGAAAACCTGCAACTATTTACAATGCTGAGTCACCCACCGAAGTCAGGATTCCCATGTCTTTCTGATGCACACAAGTAAAGAATCCAATGCTGAGTTACCCACCTAAGTTAGGATTCCAATCTTGGATTCCCTGCATTGGGTTAGACAAAAAAGCAGAAACCATGTGAGGGAGCATTGGATTCCAATCTTAGACAAAATCTTGGATTCCAATCTTGGATTCCCTGCATTGGGTTAGACAAAAAAGCAGAAACCATGTGAGGGAGCATTGGATTGAAACCAATGGACTTCATTATAAATAGACTACTTTCATTCTTTGAAGTTCTCACATTGCACACTCCTAAATCTCTGAAGCTATTTGCATTATTTCTTCTTCTTACCTTTAGTCTTCTTTGTGTTCCACACTCCTAAAATGGGTGTAGTGTCTACTATTGTCCACTATGATGGTTTCATGAACCCATGTCCCATGGAGGGAGTTACCTTCAATACTGGGACTGCAAAACTTGTTCCTTTAAAGAGAGGAATTTCTCTACAAAGGCTGAAGAAGTTGATCCACAAGAAATTGGAGAAAGAACCCCATGAAAATGTAGCAACCATCCATTTTCGCTGTCCAACTAGACTCGGAGTTGGGATCAACAACTTCATTGCTGTTGAGTTGAAAGATGATGACGACGTGGAGGCCATGTTGGATGTGCATGATTCAAACTCAAGTCTATGTGGTATTGAAATTTTTGTTTCATTTAAAACTTCTTCTTCTTCATACCCCAACACACACTCACCAGAAATTTCACCCTTACCCTACCAAGCTTTGCCAAACACTCACCCAGAAATACCCACACATAATGACTACATCCCTTTGACCCAACTTCTAAGTGGCCCTTCCACCAACATCAACGAAGAACTACCCACACAAGAGAACGAAATTGTTGGCCTCCCAATTGAAGTCGTTGATCCTTTTAGTGAGGATGAAGACGGAGATGAAATTCTCAGCCAACACCAAGATGATTCAGAGGACGAACAACCACATATCCCTACACATGCACCAAACTTCATGGAACCATTCAACCCACCACAACATTTTCTTAACTTTGAAAATCACATTCAACAACAAGACCCAGAGTATGGTCATGCGTTGGACAGAGAGTCTTTTGTTTCTCCGGCAGGAACTCTATTTCTTGGACAACGTTTCATAACAAAAGAACAAGTTCAAGATGTCATCAACCGTTTTCACATTGTCAATCACTGCACATACAAGGTGAAAATTTCAAACCAAAGTAGATATGTTGTTGAATGTGGTGATAACCAATGCAATTGGAGATGTCGAGCAATATTGCGTACAAGAGAGCAATATTGGGAGATTATGAAGCTTGAAGGGCACCATACATGCGTTTCGCCATTAATCAGCCAAGACCACAACAAGTTGGGATATAAAATGATTTTCCAAACAATTGGTCAACTAATTGATGCTGATTCGTCAACACCAATATCCACCAATATCCACAATCATAGCCCACATCCAATCAACACCAATATCCACAATCTAAAGTCATATACTGAAAGTGATACTAGCAAAGATCTCATTGATTTGATGAAGTCAAAGATAAAGTCAAAAGTCAACTCTGCAGTAATCAACAAGTCACCCGGATAATTGAGTCTGAAGATTTAGTGTGTCTTAACGAAAGTTTAGGTAAAACCATTTTACCTTTTCTCGCTGCATAAAGTTTCTTCATCATTTTGCAAAATGCCTCAAAAATAGTTTTAAACAAATAAAAAACAAAAGCATTTTGACAAAGAACTTTCTTAATAATGTTTTTAACTGATATAGTTTTAAAAGAAACGATTAAAATCACTTAGAATGTTTAAAGAAGTGTTTTTACAGTATTTTAATCGATACAAACTTCTTTTAATCGATTAAAACCACTTTGGAAGTCAGGATGATCGATCATAATGAAATTATGACCGATCAGAGTTGGTTATGATCGATCAGAATTGAATTATGACCGATCAGACCTATTTCAATCGATTAAAACAAATTTCAATCGATTAAAATGACTTGAAAATTTTTGTACAGAGTTTCAATCGATTAAAACGCATTTCAATCAATTAAAATAACTTGGAAAATCTTTGTACAAAGTTTCAATCGATTAAAACGCGTTTCAACCGATTAAAACAACTTAGAAAAATTCTGTGCAGGTTTTTAATCGATTAAAACTTCTTTGTATCAGTTAAAATAACTTGAAAAGTTTTATAAGAAAGTTTTAAAGCAAATCAATCGATTAAAACGCGAATCAATCGATTGAATCACTGAGAAAATGTTTGTAAAATGTTTTAACTGATATAAACATGGTTGTATCAACTAAAAACATTCTGTTAAAGAAACAAGAACGCATTAATGGGTTGAAAGGACTTTTAACAGATTATAACGACTATTTCAACAGATTAAAACAAACTTTCAACAGATTAATTAATGCAGCAGATTTGAAAATTCTCTTTAAAAACAGTTTTGCTTGTCCAATGGTAATCTTGTCCAATGGTAATCTTGAAAATGTCAATCAGGGGATTGCTAAGAAGCGGAGGAGAGCTCTAGTGGCTTTTTCTCAATCTAATAAAAGTGTCATCAAATTTGACGTCCCAAAATACGAGAGCAACCTCCAAATTAAGAAATGGGTCCAGAGCCTTCAAGATCAAGGGCGAAAGAAAGCTCGGATATTGAGGAAGGTCGATTGTAACAGAAAAATGGGAGTCATCCACGGAGGAGGCTTCGTATCCAGGAGAGATGCTTCGAAGGTCCAACAGCTGGTCGACGAGTGTGAAGAAGAGAATGTCACAAAATGAAGGTAGTTCGACCAATGCATTGGTGGATATAACGAGAATCCCCCATTTTTTCAGGTGTCCTCGCTCAAGCGATGTGATTTTCGCTTGAGTCACCTTAGATAGCGGTTGATAACAACCGCTTTTAAAAATATATATTAGATAGCGGTTAGGCTTTAACCGCTTTCTAATGTAGTAGTTTAGATAGCGGTTGGCCAAATAACCGCTATCTAAAGTCATATATGTCAAAGTGATCGACTATAATTGGATAATAATCGATCATACTTTTCGCTCAGCGAGGTTTCTTCGCTGAGCGAGAATTTACCCAGATTACCCCTTCGTTATGATTTCCTCGCTCAGTGAAGGTTTTCTTCGCTTGAGCGAGAGTTCAAGACTGCTGAAATAATATTATTTTAATACGTGAACAATGAACATGATTATGCGAAATAATATTATTTTATTACGTGAACAAGAACATGATGCTAGTTGTGTAAATAAAGTTATAAATGTGTTATTTTAATAAATATTTTTAAAAACAGTATTATTTATGAAAAAAAGTCATAAAATTGATCTAGAGGATTTGGTTCAATATTTATCATATTATGTGTCTTACTGCATTTATTATAATTTTGTACGACTTTGTACTAGTAACTTAATAATATTAATAAACAAAACAGCAATATTATTCAGTGGTCTGAATTTATATGTTAAGAAAAAAAATGTTATATACAATTTTAGAAATTATTCTGCAGCAGAATTGACAGTGAAGAACTGAAAGTCTCATAGACGAGGAAACCTACGTCATAGATGTGAAGTCGAACAATAAATATTCAAATAATTATATAATACCAAAATTAAAAAATTTACTCGTATTTTTTTATTTCAATTATAGTTACAGTTTTCAAATTGTTTTAAAATAAACTGATATTTTCAGTTTTTGATAAAATATTATTTTTTTAATTTAAATTTATCTCTAAACGGGGAGATTTTTTTGGAATTCAAAGATGATCACTTTCTAAATTTTAATAATATATATATATATATATATATATATATATATAATTTTGATCTAAAAACTTAATAATATTTTAATATATTTATAATTTTAATTTTTTTAGTATTAAATCAAATAATGAATAAAAAAATATTTTATATATTTTTTAACTTTTTATATTATTTTATATTTAATATTTATTTATTATTGATTAATATTTTATCTGTTTTAAAATATATAATAAATAAAATTTGATTATTTACATATCAATATAAACATTATTTTTATCATTTTTTATAACTTTTTTCATTAATATTTCTTATCACTTTAATTAAAAGACAGAAATATGATTAATAGAAAAAGTAATTAATATATTCTTAAATTTTTACATATTTTATATATATACATATATTTTAAAACAATAGTTTGCACTTACTATTATAATAAAAATAGTATATTTATCGAGAGAAGATACGCTATTAATAAAGTTATTTCAACAAACAATATATTAAAACTGCAGTAATTAGTTAGTATAGAAGTAAAAAGGTAGTTGAATGAAATAAATGAACTTTTTTTTAAATAAATTATGTGAATGGGGAGTAGATAAATATTCATTGAAATTTAAGGGCCCTTTCACAAAATAAAAAAAGTTCAACAATCCCACCGACATTTTTTAACCTCCACTTGCAAATTTCAAATAAAGAAACGGTTGTCTTAAACGTCACATTGTTGTTGTTTTACAAACTCACTAATTTATTATACGTTTTTTTTTTATTCAATCAAACTATTAACATTTAAAATAATGTATTTTATTCTTCCATTTCTTTCCCTATTTTTTTCACATAATAATTTTTACATTTCTTTCCCTATTTTTTTCACATAATAATTTTTACATGTTGTCTCTCAAACAACAATAATGATGATGTTAGCAATATGATTTATTTTATATTATTATAACATCTTATAAATTATACTATGTAGTGTCAAAATTTAGATAATTTTTTTCTGATAGATAATAAATTTTTTGAGTTAAAACTTTTGAAAAATGCAATATGAAAATCGCACACAAAATGAGTGAAAAGGTGAAGGGGCTTTCTGTGGAACCATTTTTGTCTAAGTTGTTGTGGCTGATGGGCCATATTATTGGCATAAGGTTCCTGATCCATTGCCCCATTCACTCAGCATATCTCCATTATTCTCTCACCAACTTCACCTCTTGTGTGCAGTGCCTGTGACTGTCTTAATTGAATTGTGTTGGAAACATTGATCAAAACAAAGAAACCCTAGTCAAAGGGGCAGTGGTGGGTCACCCCTCACTCCTACATGGCACTGTTGACACACCTTCCAATCTCCTAACCCACAATCTTAAAAACTCTATTTCATAAAATCTTTTGACGTCCACTAGGAAAGTAGTGAGAGATTGAGATTCCCTGTTTTTTTTTTGGCGGGTAAATCCTTTATTTTTTGCTCATAAAATTTTAACACCCCATAACATGGGCACAAAAGAAATTAAAAAAGATCTTAACTTTTGTTCCCGCTTTGGTATTTCCCCTTGCCTCCATGTTAAATTGCAATGCCGAATGCAGACACTGAAACCTCAAAAGGATGAAATCTAGAGGCTGCTTTATCTTTAGGCCTTTCATAAACAAACAATTAGGGTTCCATTTTGAGGTGCTCCTATCCTCCATTGTCACATGAATGCTAAAGGACACAAGTTGAAAAGGACAAAGACACTCTCTTTTTAATGTTTTGTTGTCACAATTCATTAAATATTTTGGGGTCATTTACTGCTCATAAAATTTTAATACTTTCTAAGTGGGTTTTAAAAAGATTTCTACCCATCAATTAAAGCTTTTAGCACCAAAAAGAATTTCTGGGTCCCTTCGTCTTTATTGCTGCATGGAGTGTCAACCGGTACTCATTCCCTTTTCTCTTTACTCAGTTGTGGCTACAATGTTGCGACACTGTAATTAATTACTGAAGTTTAAACTTTAAATTGTTAATCTTTGTGCTAACCTTTTCCTTCTGCTTCAAAAGATTGATACTTGAGGGGAGGGATTTCTCCTACAGTCCTCATCTTGCTTATAGGAGGTGTTTTGGGTAAGAACTATAGTTTTTATGTGTCAGATCTTTCAACATTCACACAGTTTTTTTGGTTCACTTCAGTGCATTTTATGTTTAGCTTATTTCTGTGGCCAATAGTGGTATCTGGTGAAGGAGCTTCTGGTTTTCATCTTTTGGTGGTCTTTTAACAAGTAAAGTTGGCAACTTTGGGTAGCATTTTTCTTTTCTGTTTTAATATTTTGTTCTGGTTTTATCATTTCTTATTGAATGCTGTCTTTCTTTGCTTGCTGAAGGTCAGGACATTTGTGGTTTTAAAGAATACCTCCTTTGGTTTTGTCTGTACGGAAGCCCGTCGTAGTGTCGATTGAGAAGCTTGAGGACCCAACTCTTTGTTTGGAGACTGTGCTTGCTTGCTTCTTTCTTAATTGATGTTTAATTTTTGCAAAAGGGGTATCTTGGAATTCTATTTGTACCTTTTGTTGGTGGGGTGAAAGATAGTTGCTTATCCTTTAGAACTAGAAGGGTGTAAGCTCTCCTTCTGGTTCACTTGAGTGTGAGCTACACAAAAGTAAATATTCTGGTGTCTAGAGACTATGAAGCCCTTTGTCCTTTTAGTGTTATCTTTATATTTCTTCTCCGTGGTGGGGCAGCTTCCTTCTCAGGACATTTTAGCATTGCTGGAGTTTAAGAAAGACATCAAACATGACCCTAGTGGTTATGTGCTCAATTCCTGGAATGAGGAATCCATTGACTTCGATGGATGCCCATCTTCATGGAATGGAGTTTTGTGTAATGGTGGTAATGTTGCTGGGGTTGTCCTTGATAACTTGGGTCTCTCTGCTGACACTGACTTGAGTGTGTTTTCAAATCTCACCAAGCTTGTGAAACTCTCTATGTCCAACAATTCCATAACAGGAAATCTACACGGTAACATTGCTGATTTCAAAAGCCTAGAATTCCTGGATATTTCCAATAACCTCTTTTCCTCATCCTTGCCATTGGTGATTGGTAAGTTAAGCAGTTTGCAGAATCTGTCTTTGGCTGGAAATAATTTCTCTGGCCCAATTCCTGACTCTATTTCAGAAATGTCGTCCATCAAGTCCCTGGATTTGAGCCGCAACTCCTTTTCTGGAGAGCTGCCAGTGTCGTTGACAGAAGTGACTAGCCTTGTATCTCTTAATTTGTCTCATAATGGCTTCACTGGAAAAATTCCTAAAGGTTTTGAGCTCATTCCTGCCCTTGAAAAACTTGACTTGCATGGGAATATGCTTGAAGGTAATTTAGATGTTGAATTTATGCTTTCATCAAGTGCCAGCTATGTTGATTTAAGTCAGAACAAGCTGTCAAGTTCTGATTCCAAGCAGAAGTTTCTACCTCGGCTATCTGAAAGTATTAAGCATCTGAATTTAAGTCACAACCAGCTTACTGGATCTTTAGCCAATGGAGTTGCAGAACCTGTTTTTGAAAACTTGAAAGTGTTGGACCTCAGCTACAATCAGTTGGATGGAGAATTGCCTGGATTTGATTTTGTTTATGATCTCCAGGTCCTCAGGCTTAGCAACAATAGATTTTCAGGATTTATTCCTAATGGCCTACTGAAAGGAGACTCTTTGGTTTTAACTGAACTAGATTTGAGTGCCAACAATCTCTCAGGTAAATTGGCAGTTCCAATTTTTTTTTTCTTTTCTCAAAATAAAGAACCTGCCACATTTTACTAATGGAATTGGATGGTTGTGGTGTCACACTTATCATATTTGACTTGTGCTATTGGCTATGTTGTTGGATGAGAGTCCTTAGCTTTCATTGTTACTAATCTAATAGTCAAATTGTTTTTTCAGGGCCACTAAGTATAATTACATCAACAACACTTCACTCTCTTAACCTGTCGTCAAATGGATTCACTGGTGAACTGCCACTGCTGACAGGAAACTGTGCTGTACTTGATCTGTCAAATAACAAATTAGAAGGAAATTTAACCAGGATGTTGAAATGGGGGAATATAGAATTTCTTGATCTCAGTGGGAATCATTTGACGGGGACCATTCCTGAGGAAACACCTCAATTTTTGCGACTAAATTATTTGAATCTATCCCATAATTCTCTCAGTAGCTCCCTTCCAAAAGTCTTGATACAGTATCCAAAGCTGAGAGTGCTTGACATTAGTTTCAACCAATTAGATGGACTACTTCGACCTGGTCTTCTCACAATGGCCACATTGCAAGAGCTGCATCTTGAGAACAATATGATATCTGGTGGCATCAATTTCTCATCTTCTCCTGACCAATCTGATCTTCAGATTCTTGATCTTTCTCACAACCAGCTTAATGGTTATTTTCCTGATGAATTTGGGTCATTAACCGGCCTGAAAGTGGTAAATATTGCTGGAAATAATTTCTCTGGTTCACTTCCAACAACCATTGCTGACATGAGTTCACTAGAATCCCTGGATATATCAAAGAATCATTTTACTGGCCCTTTACCGAATAACATGGCAAAGGGGCTCCAAAACTTCAATGCTTCCGAAAATGATCTATCTGGACTCGTCCCAGAAGTTTTTAGGAAGTTCCCTAATTCTTCTTTCTTTCCTGGGAATTCCAAGTTACATTTTCCAAATGGTCCTCCAGGATCTACTGCCACACCTGCTGAACGTTCCAAGAGGAAGCATTTGAACACCATTGTTAAAGTAATAATCATAGTGTCATGTGTGGTTGCGCTCTTCATATTAATCTTACTTGCTGTCTTCATACACTACATACGTATATCAAGATCTCCACAAGAATATGATACAAGTAAGGATATCCACAGGCATCCTCAACCAATTATCTCGGCTCCTGTCCGCACTACTGATAGGGGTGGTGCTTTGGTTGTTTCAGCCGAGGATCTTGTGGCCACACGCAAAGAGTCACCATCAGAGGTTATCAGCTCTGATGAAAAGATGGCAGCTGTAACAGGGTTCTCTCCATCAAAACAAAGCCACTTTTCATGGTCACCAGAATCTGGTGATTCATTCACTGGTGAAAATCTTGCAAGACTAGATACTAGGTCACCAGATCGGTTGATTGGAGAGCTGCATTTTCTTGATGATTCGATAACATTGACACCCGAGGAGCTGTCAAGGGCCCCCGCAGAGGTTCTGGGAAGAAGTAGTCATGGTACTTCTTACAAGGCCACTCTGGAGAATGGTTTGTTGTTAAGAGTGAAGTGGTTGAGAGAAGGAGTAGCCAAACAGAGAAAAGAATTTGTCAAGGAGACCAAAAAATTTGCAAACATCAGACATCCAAATGTAGTGGGATTGAGAGGATATTATTGGGGCCCTACACAACACGAGAAGCTCATTCTTTCAGATTACATCTCACCAGGAAGTCTTGCAAGTTTTCTTTATGGTAATATGTTGGCTTTCCTTCTATTGTGACAGACATTTTTTTTTTAAATATTATTATCAATTTGAACCATAAATAATGTCTTGGCTCCATTTAAGAATCTTTGGTTGCATGACTTCTACTGTGCATTGGCTGCTAGAATAGATTTTGGTTGCCAGTAGCTTTTTAGCACAAAATTGTCAGTCTGTGCTTTGTGTATGCATTAATTCTACTGCCTATCACATTTTGCTGGTGCAATTGATCAAAGTTTCTAAATGCGCAATTCATTTAAGTTGTTGGTTTAATCTATCATTCCTTAGTATCTCAAGTTTGAACTTAATTATAAAATACAATTGCAGATCGACCAGGAAGAAAAGGTCCACCATTAACTTGGACCCAGAGACTCAAAATAGCAGTTGATGTAGCACGTGGCCTGAACTATCTCCATTTTGATCGTGCCATCCCTCACGGGAACCTCAAAGCCACAAATGTGTTGTTAGACACAACTGATATGAATGCACGCGTTGCTGATTACTGCCTTCACCGGCTCATGACTCAAGCAGGTACTATTGAACAGATTCTTGATGCTGGGGTGTTAGGTTATCGTGCTCCGGAGTTAGCTGCCTCCAAGAAGCCAATGCCCTCCTTCAAGTCAGATGTTTATGCTTTTGGAGTGATACTTTTGGAACTTCTAACCGGAAGGTGTGCTGGTGATGTGATATCTAGTGATGAGGGAGGTGTTGATCTGACAGATTGGGTGAGGTTGCGTGTGGCAGAAGGCCGAGGCTCAGAATGTTTTGATGCTGCCTTGATGCCAGAAATGAGCAATCCTGTTGTAGAAAAGGGAATGAAGGAGGTCCTGGGAATAGCCATGCGATGCATTCGATCAGTTTCTGAAAGGCCTGGCATCAAAACTATATATGAAGATCTCTCTTCTATATAGTCTGCTCATGCTAACTGTTCGAACTTTGCCATGTTGTGGGAATTAATGTCTCATTAGTGTCCCATATTTGTTCAAAGCTTGGCCTTTTAACATGTTTGTATTAACCATTTTTTAGTTGTAAAAATGGGGCATGCGCCGCCAAATGCATATTCATGGATTTTTCTTGATGGTTCTGGCCATCTAATTTTGTCTTGAAATAGTATGTGTTATGAATGATCATTTGTCTTGAAATGCTTAATTCTGTGTAGTTAGTTTGTATAAACATTTCATATTTTAGTCGATTCAATTGATCTTAAGAGTTGATTGCCCAAGATATTGGCATATATAGTTCTCCGCAAACTCAACTGGTTTTTCTCTCTCAGGAAATTGCTACTATCCTCATGTTTTAACTATGGTTGTGGAAGCCATGTTTTGTCATATTCAAGCTTTAAGTTACTGGCATTTACATATGGAATTATCTTAAGACAAAACGTTGTTCAATTCAAAAGAATTCTAACACTAGATTCAACGTCGTCTCAGCAACTTGTTTAAAATATATTATTAGCTATTTGTTTTGTAAAAATGAATTTTATTTAATGTGAATTTGAAATAAAACGATGTGTGAATTATTTTTCTTCATAAATTAAGTTTACAATCTGCAATGTGATTTTAATTACGTTATTTATTTAAATTAAAATATTGTTTAAATATTCAATTTTTAAAAAATATATAAACCATAAATAGGAATGCATATTTCAAACTTAATCAAACAAGAAGATTCTCTTCTTTTTTTCCCCTTGAATAACTACTTTTTAAATGAAATGACATATCAATATAAACTTAATTTCTTAATCATGTATTTATTTTTTATAAATATTATATATTTTTCTTATTAAAAGTGGTCTTTATTTATTTTTCTTTAAAAATTCTAAACAACTCGAGGGTCTTGTTAAAATCCCCACTGCCCAAGGAACTCATAAATTTAAATTATTTTTATAGATATGAAATGTGATATTTTTTTATTAAGTATATTTTTTAAGATTAATAATTACCTCTTAACTTTTCACCAGAAAAAAGCTCTTACTTAAGACTTATCACTTATCACGTGCATATAATAATCGTCTTGTCTTTTGCAGGTAAATGTTGGACTTATATTATGAATTTTATTTCATTTTTAATTTATATGTATTTTACCAAATATATTAAATGTATAACTTTTTGTGATAAAAAAAAACCAAAAAAAAAAACGAAGCACTATGGAACCCAGGTAGTTTTGAAAATGTAATAAAAATCATTTATGTAGCCGCTGCCGAGGTCTGTTTGAGATAATTATTAAGCTGATTAATTATAATTATTTTATATAGCTAAAATTTATTAAAATATTTTATTATTGAATATTTTTTTATAATATTTTATATTAATTATTAGTTTTTGAGTTATTATATTTTTAATTTATTATTATCTTTTAATTTTTATATAAGAAATTTAATCAAAAATAAATCTCACTTTATTATTTATTTTATAATATATTATTAACTCAAGTTCGGTTAACGAATAATTTGTATTTTTAATTTTTCAAATTTTATTTATGACATTTCTATATGAATAAATTATAAATTTATACAAATTTAAAAATATATTAATAATGAAATATATAAAAGCATAATACAAAAATGTGAAATTCACCATAATGTTAATAACATATTTTCTATTGCTATAAAATATTTTTCGTTTCTTTGATTTATAAAAGGGAATTATTATTTTTTGGATCGGGTGGATGGGTCGGGTCAGATAAGTTAGATTAAACCAAAAAATTAGGGTTGGGTGGGGCATGAGAAATTGAGAAGTGAGTCTGCGCTTTGTACTCCGCAGTGTTCGCTCCGTCTCCGGCGTCTCAAGTTAGCCATTAAAGGTGCGTCCATCCTCAACACACCGTTAGCATTCAAACGTCTTTCTTATTATTTTATTCCCTGTCATGTGACTTCAATTACAATAAATTTCATACCGTTATCCTGTGTTCTTTGCTTAGTTATTTAGTTTCCCAATCACATTGCAAGTGCCCTGGATTTTTGCTTGTTATGTTGCTAATCTGTATTTTATCTAAATGGGTAATTCTTTCCTTCTTGTTTATGTTCTGTTCTGCATTCTAGCTGTCTGATCATATTCCTTACACCGAACACGTTAATTTTGTTTAATCTTTACCTGCTTGTGTATGAGATTACTCTTTATCTACAAACTTGAAACAGTGTACTGTATGAGAGAGGATTGTAGTTCTATCCTTTACGGGTTTTTGTTTGACCCTACCAGTCCTGTTGCATGTTTTTGTCAAATTTCTAACGCTTTGTATGTTTGTTTGGTATGTATATGTATGGAAATTTCAGATTATGTGCTGAAGGAATCTTTGGAGGTCTGTGTTTTGTTTTTAGCTAGAATAATTTTGTACTGAATTGCCTTGTCACAAGAGAATGCCTCTGCAACTTTTTGATGGTAGTGATTCCGAAAACGATGACTTTTCAAAAATCAAGATAGACGAGGAATATGCTCGCAGGTTTGAGCACAACAAGAAGCGCGAGGACCTCCAGCGGTTCGAGGAATTAAAAAAGAAGGGTGTTATTGATTCACCTTCCCATTCTGGAGGCGAGGAAGAACCAGAGTCTGAATCATCGGATGATGACTATGAGAAGCTTTTCAACTCAAGAAAGAGTGACAAGGAGTTCTTTGATGCCTTAATTAAAGTGAAGAAGCAAGATCCTATTCTTAAGCAGAAAGATTTTAGGCTTTTTGGATCGGATGATGACACTGATGATGGAAGCGATGGGAAGGAGAATTTTGAATCAAAAGACAAAAAGGGTGAAAAGCCAATGTATTTGAAGGATGTGATGGCAAAGCATTTGATTGAGGAGGGGGCAGATTTTGGCCATGAAGAGGAGGAAATAGATGAAAATGGAAAACGAAAGGGTAAGAAGGTAATGCTTAAGACTTATGGTGATGAACAAGAGGAATTGAAAAGGGCTTTTCTGAGAGCTGTAGAAAAGGAGGGTTTGGAGGAAGGTGAAGAAGAGTTTTTCACAGTAAAGGAGAAGGAGGGTGAGGATTATAAAGTAGATAGTGATGACAAGGAATTTGAGGAGAAGCTGGATGAATATTTTGGTGGAGACTTAGAATCAAATGAAAATTCTAAGTTTCTAAAAAGCTATTTCATGAATAAATTGTGGATTGACAAGAGTGAGAAGGATTTGGATCTTGGAGAGGAAGAATTGGAAGAGATTTCCAATGATGAGATGGAACTCGAAAGACAGGAAGAATACGAGTATAGATTTCAGGAGAATCTGGGAGATAGGGTGTTGGGTCATGCTCGAAAGGTGGAGGGATCCGTGAGGAAGAAGACAAATACTAGGAAAGAGCAGAGAAAGAGCAAAGAGGAGAGAATGGCTATAGCACAAAAGGAGAGGGATGAGGAGTTAAAGCATTTAAAGAATTTGAAGAAACAGGAGATACAGGAGAAGGTTAAAAAGATAATGGAGACTGCAGGGATCAATGATGATGATATTATTCCATTGTCTATGGCAGAAATTGAAGAGGAATTTAACCCAGAGGAGTATGATAGAATGATGAAGAAGGCATTTGATGATAAATATTATAATGCGGAGGATGCTGACCCTGACTTTTACAGTGATAACGATGACATTGAGAAGCCAGATTTTGAAGAGGAGGATGAATTACTTGGGCTTCCTAAATGTTGGGATGCATGCGGATCTAATGGTGGCTTTTTAGCAGCAAGGGAAAAAGCATTGAAAGAAAAGATTGAGAATACTAGTGATGATCTTCTATCAGAAGGAGAAGAAGCAGACAAGATTCCTGAGGTGGGTAATCGGAAGAGGAAGCGCAAAACAGCACTTTTGGAGAAAGCAAGAGAGGCAATGATGGATGAGTACTATAAACTAGATTACGAGGACACCATAGGGGACCTGAAGACAAGATTCAAGTATGCCAAAACAAAGCCAAATAGATTTGGCATCTCTACTTCAGAGATACGGTTGATGGATGACAAAGAATTGAGTCAATATGTTCCCTTGAAAAAACTTGCTCCTTACCGGGATGAAGAATGGAAACTAAGCAAACAAAAAAGATACACCCTGAAGATGAGGGTAAAAGAACTTCTTCGTACAGCAAGTTTGGATAAGAAGAAAAAGAATAAGTTAAAGGATGATTCTGACCAAAAAACTTCATCAAAAAGTGTTGTGGAGATAGAAAAAGCAAACCCCGACGAATCAAATATTAATGCGGATCCTTTATCAAGGAAAGCCAAGAGAAGACGACAAATGGCTCATTTAAAGATATCACAAAATAGGCTTAAGGCATACGGGAATATACCCTCAAAACCTAAGCATGGAGGAAAGCACTGAAAATTGTCAATGAATTTTTCAGGTAATTACTTTAATTTGAAACTTTTTATATTAAAATTCAATGGCTTAACGAGTCATTCTCTTGGAGGATTTAGTTTAAGCTAATTATTTTTATTTTTCTTATTTTCTAATAAGATTTGCACCCTTGCCCAGCCTCGTCGTCACGTAACTTATTTTTTAGTACCTTTGCAGAAGGGAGGGAATCGTATTGCAAAATACTGTGTTGGATGGCCACAAGTTTTGTTGTGAAGAGAAGTTATATGTTTTCTTAGAATGATTAGAGATTATGTAATTTGTCAATGGAACCATTTAACTTAATGTTTTCTCTGAACGATTAGAGATAATGCAATTTGTCAATGGAGCCATTTAAGTCTTGTGGGTATTAAAATGAAGTTGCAACTAATTCTACATCTCAATTGATCCGGACTTTTTGCTAAATACTAGTTATGATAACAACGTTCTATGTATACATGTATACGTCAACGTATTAATTTATTATTCATCTTGGGGCTCGTCCATGCCCGAGTAATAATGACGAAAAGCTCACGAAAAGTCTTTAGCTTCATGGTCATGGCCGCAAAGCTCAGTATATCTGTAGAAAACAAGTTCATCAGTAAACAAACTGCATATCCTTCTACAAGGACTAACATTAAGATCTGTATATACTTCATTCTCTTAGGACTAACAGAATCTCATTTAAGTGACAGTTATTTAAAAAAAAAAAATGCACACTGATAGAGCCGTGTCCGTAAATGGCATTCGTATTCAATATAAACTGATTTATCTATATAAAAAAATAAGTTGATTGTTTTGCTTTTGTGAAAACACTGCCTGCACCTTAATGCTTAACCAGCACATTCATATTATAATAGTTTTAAGGTCCAGAACCACAACGTTTTCACCAAATGATTTAACAGCAAGGGTTGTACGTGATATGTGAAGATTATGCACGAAGAGGGACTTACATCTTTTGCGCTTGTGATGTTAGTGGGAATTTACATCCAGCCAGCTTAGCTGATTCTACTGCTAGGTTTAAGTCTTTAGCCTGGAGCACTCATAAATTAATTTGGCTTATTTTTAAGAACCTAAAATTCAAACTTAAGCAAACATACACACTTGTTCATAAAACAAAATATAAATAAATAATAACATTGATCATAGAAAAAAAAATCACTATAGACTTCACATCCAATGTAAAAACAATTTTTTAATTATTTATTTATTTATACATATTTTTGTATATGGAATCCAACGTCAAGTTTCACAAAAAAAAAAAAAAAAAAGGTAAGAAAGGCTCCCGAGAAATGTATAATATATAGTAAAGGAGAAGAGAAGAAACATAAGCAAAACATCATTATTATAGGACATGCAAAAGCTCTAAAAAAGAAATTTGTGCAATTAACAAAAATATCCGGCAGTTCCTACGAAGTAGCCCACTAAAATAGAGTAGAACTTTGGGTTTTGTCATAAACTATTAAATTTCCAAAAAGGAATTTGATTCAGGAAAATTTTCATTAGTTACACTTGGAATTGTCCTTGGTCTACAATCTAAAGGCATTTACAAAATTCATAATTGTTTGTCTGGAAAAAAAATGGCAAATTCTTACATACTAATTAGTAATTTAGCATGTATTGTGTGGCTAAAGGGAGCAAGTAAATTTCTCTATGTAAACCCAAGGTTTTGAGAGAGAAAAATAATGGCTGGTTAATTATGTCTGTAAGTGGTCATTCTCATCATTTGAATATCATCAACTAATTGAGTACTTATTCTAAATTGAAAATAATTTTAACAATGATTTTTTTTTGTAATTCTCTCATATGAAGTTCAGTATAAACAAAAAAGTTAGATAATTCTTATTCTTATTATTGTGTGTCCTTACTCTGGTAACCCTACACCCTTAGCTGTGAGACTAATCCAGTTTGGGTTGAGCTTATCTCTCCTTACAATGCATTTAAGCAAGCTTGTAGGTTGAAATCAATGATTATTAGTAGGTCTAAATTATCGCACTGTAATGACTATTCATACTATAGATTTCCAAGTGGTACAAGTACCCCAATTAAACTCGCGTAAGTTGAGTTAAAGCTCAGTTACTTACCATAAGCTTGGATGCAAACCCTCCTGTATAATCCCTTGACGAGGGAACCCCTTCCATCAGCCCAGGAACTGGGTTGTAAGCATCACTGTAATTCATGCAACTACTACCTGTTAATTTGATATTCTAAAAACCAAAACATTAACCTTCTAAAAAATTCCTTAAAGGTTGTGAACTAATCTATATATGAAAAATCTGTAGTTGAAAAAGAAAGCATATTTTTGTTTTCACGAGAAAACTAGTAAAGGTTTCAACGAATACAACAAAACAACATACAGGAGGACTGTTGTTTATGAGGAAAAAATACCAAGAACGAGTTTGGGATTTTGTCACTTGCAGTGAAGCTAAGCAATGGCAACTAGTTATGTGTCTCTCAGACAATGTACTTTAAAGCTATGGCCTTTTGAATTTCATGGTACTTTCATTTGTGCTAGGGGAACTATCCTCCTACGTTATATTGCTTACCGATTCCTTTATATCTACAATATGACAGTTACTAATTCTAAGGCCTCAAAGAATCTTTGCTACCACGTATTATTAATGATGATAATGAAACCAATATAGTTTAGCAGATAATTGTCTCATCGTGTGAGAGAAAATGAGTACCTACTCCAACAGCGAGCACTAGAGCAATTAAATATATTTGTCAACGTGCGAGCAGAAACACCAAGAGATTGACCTAGAGCAAGAGCTTCTGATACTCCCAGCATGCTCACAGCCAAAGCCAAATTATTGCAGATTTTTGCTGCCTAATAAGAAAACCCAAGACTAGTATATGACTTACAGTTAAACAGACATTTGGGAGTACCAATTAAGTAATGTGTAACTTACAGAACCACTCCCCGTTGCACCACAATATATTGCACTTTTACCCATTGAAAAGAGAATGGGTTTTGCTGCAAGAAATGCTTCCTCAGAGCCACCAACCTGGGGAAGTTCCATTATATGTTCATTACTCAATTTACTGCCAAAAATTTACAACTTTTCTACAACTGTTTTAGCACGGTTACCTCATTACCATGTGCAGTTCATAATTTTTTTAAGGTATAATTTAATGTTCCTAATTTTTTTAAGCACCAAAGTGGGAGTCTACTCTACAAATTAACATCCTCAATGGGAATTGGAAAAATTAGTGATACAATGTTCGTTTGGTTTCTAGGATCAAACACATGGCCATTGAGCTACAATTATTACTAAAAGTATATGGTAGTTTTATGTATATTTTTAGCATGTTAGAATAAAGCAGTAACAATACCATAAAAGTAAGCGTCCCAGCTTCAGCTGCAGTTACACTTCCGGATACAGGAGCATCTAACTTGAAAGGTTTTTTCCAATCACCTACACAATATATAATCATTGAGTACCACAACATTAAAGGAGTAAAATTGTTCAACCTACTAATTGCTTGAAATCGATAGACCAGGAGGATGTTATGACAGCCTCTCTATACTTTCGTAAAGAAGAATATAACAAGAAAACTTACACTATAGAATACTTTGTAGAACACCTATGCATTTTCATTTAAGACCCATCTTCAAATGAATAGAGATTTGAATCTATTTGTGAAATAATGTCTAATGACTTAAAAGCCAAAATCTACTCATGCTAAAATAGACAACTGAACACAACAGAAAGTAGTGGGCAATTTTCAGATTGGAATCAGTTAGGTTGTAGTAGTTCTACACTTAAAAATCAATTTACTGCAGACCTAATTATTAACTTCAAAATCAATTAAAATGTTACAATGACTGAAGTTAGCTCTTCGGTAGTTTAATGAGAAATTTGACCCATCCTTATGAAAAACACAGGTGAAACTACTGGATAACATCAAAAACATTTGCCATATGTGATTGACAAAAGAAAAAACTCCGAGGTAACAATTGTTAAGAGCTTCAGAAAATAATTTAAAGAATCTTCAAAAATATTTGAATGGCAACATAACATCAGAAACATTTGCCACATGTGATTCACAAAAGAAACAATCTACGAGGAAACAATTGTTAAGAGCTTCAAAAAATAATTTAAAGAATCTTTAAAAATATTTGAATGACAAGATAACATCAGTGATAAGAATAAACCACCTATCACCAAGATATACACCCACAAGAAACGAACAAAAGAAGCAACAATCCTAGACCACAAACATGGCACACAACACTCAAAGGATGCAAAACACCAAACCACCAAACGATTACAACCCATCCTAGAAGTATAAAGTCAAGGGATGGGAATCAAGGGGCATAACCCTTGGAATAGAGATATAACCATTAGGAAAAGTTGTATCAATTGGGAACTGTTGTTAGAAACAATATAAATAGAAGTAATCCAAATTAGGAAAGACACAAAAGGAAATTAGGAAAGAATTGTATTGTGGAGAGACAGACTTTCGAAAACCTGTGTTATAAAAATATCTCAAAATTATCTTTATAGATTCTATTCATTTTTCAATCCTGTCTAGTTATTTTATGTTCATATCAATTTGGTATCAGAGAACCGATCAGGTGCTTTGCTTCTAAAAATGGTGACAACTCATTCTTATTCTGATAATCATGACACAATGGAGAGAATATTGGAGATATTGATGGTGAACCGACAAAACCGAGACGCAGAACAACAACTTTATATTTTGCACGAATAGAAGCCATGGTAGAAAATTTGATGAAGCATTCAGAAAATGGCTCACCCAAAGGTTTCGCCAATGGAAAAGAAACACCCAAAAACCACGTCGGGAAAGGAAAAATAGAACGATGGAGAAAATTGGAAATCCCCATATATGATGGAGAATCTGATGCCTATAGATGGATAAATAAATTGGAACGTTTATTTCAAATGAGAGATGTACTAGAAGAAGAGTAAATTTAGGCAATTATGTTGGCACTAGATGGAAAGGCGTTGCATTATATTGGT